CCAGAAAATATTGCAGTATTTCAATTTTCTTGATGTACCAGGGTAAAATGTGGGGTAAAGTGTCATATCCCATCCCTGCATTGAGGTACGTTTTCTGACCCATTTCTCGTGCTCCGCGGTGTCTAAATATAACCACGATGGCGTTCCGACCAGTGCAGATCAGTGTAAACAAGTGTAACGGTAGGGTCAAAATCTTTCTAACAAATATGATTATTTATTGATACCTTTGAAACAAGGTCTAGTTGTGGCCGCAACTGGACTAAATTGTGAACGACTCTTGGCAGAATGCAATTGCTTGACTGCCGCAAGGGAGATATCGTTCGGGACCTGCATTAGCCCCCCAAATGATTCGTTCTCCAGTTTGAGTGTCGAGCAGAAGCAGGCTTTGTATGTTTTGGTTCTACAAAGCTGTGTCCATCGATAACATTCAATAATCAATTAATTGCATTCATTCTTGCACCATGCAACCATTTCTATTTTCTAAACATGTCCTTTTCTTCTCTATACTGCCTGCATGCATGATCACATTTTCTGCGCACACATGATAGACAGTTGGAGCTTCTGAGCCGGAGGAGCATGTATTAATCCTCCTGTTTAAATCATTACTGCCAGCAAGTCAAATGAATGACTAAAATGAATGAGTCATTCTGAAAAACAGATCATGACTCTCAAGTAAGTTAAAAGAGTTCTTCAAAAAGAACAAATCGTTTGCAAACTGCACATCACTCAGGCGCGTAACTTGCAGGGGGGACGGGGGTCATGACCGCCCCAATATTAGAAACAGGTCAATTTGACCACCCCTTTAACATCCTACCATGATTAGTTTGATTGATTGGAGAAAGAAATCCCCACTGTAAAGTGCCAGGCAGCTACTGGCTTTATGTGGCTTCGCACCACAGTGACTCAGTTCCTCATTTTATGATTGGATCCCCCCACAGACAAATATGCTTTTAGTTGCGCAGCAATGCGCACACAGCAGTAGGATGCAAAGCAAAATGCAATTAGCACGAACACACTGTTCGAAAAAGCGCACTGCACATGCAAGCGGTTTCTTGTGACAGAGATGAAAATATCAGTAAAACAATTTGAAAGAAGGGAGATCCAAAGATGCAACATACCACCATGCATCCCACTGCTGGCTTGCCTTTGAAGCTAAGCAGAGTTGGTCCTGGTCTGTCCCTGGATGGGAGATCAGATAGTGTTGGAGGGCCAGTAGGAGGCACTCTTTCCTCTGGTCAAAAAATATATGTGACTGGGAACATTGCCCTGTGTAAGGTGCTGTCTTTTGGATGGGATGTTAAACGGGTGTCCTGACTTTTTGTGGTCACTAAAGATCCCATGGCACTTATCGTAAGAGTAGGAGTGTTAACCTCCAGTGTCCTGGCTAAATTCCCAATCTGGCCCTCATACCATCATGGCAACCTAATCATCACCAGCTTCCAATTGGCTTATTCATCCCCCTCCTCTCCCCTGTAACTATTCCCCAGGTCGTTGCTGTAAATGAGAATGTGTTCTCAGTCAACTTACCTGGTTAAATAAGGGTAAAATAAAAAAATTAACAAACAACTAGCATGGGTTGCTAGTGGTGGGGCAAACAAAAACAAAAATTGGGGGATGCATGCCAGTAAAGCCACTACACAACACAACACTAAACAATACATTAATTGCACTATAACGGTGACAAACGGTGCCCACAAACTGTTAGGGCCTACATAAAGCTGTCCCAACAGCAGAGTCCCAACACCTTACCACTGCTACACATGCTACACATGGCTATCAGTTTTTAAAAAACATAGCTGATATAGCTGACTTGCTTAAACAAATGTGGTTTCTACAAACAATTGAGATGTACAAACTATGGCATAAGGGGACGACAAGCGGATAAGAGGCAATCCGTAATTTTGATTAAGACATTAATGAGCGAGCTAGGACGGACGTAGTTAATATAACTATTTGTTCAGCACTTTTGAAATGTACAGAGACAGAATTCAGAACTTGGGCCGTTCTTACAGTGTTCTCCCTGTAAACCAAGTCAGAACCGTAGAATAAATAAAGGGGGCATATAAGCAGACAATGAAAGCTCTTACAATATTTGATGATTACATTTCTCTAAAACAGGTTATAGGCTACATGTGCACCAAAAAGAAAATAGACCAAAATATTAGGGTGAGGCACATGGGCTACTAACAGCTTACTACACAACATACACTTAGTATTACTTTCTTAGCTACAGTATACATATCTCCCTGGCATATTACATCATTTATGCAGCAGCATAAAATAAATTTTTGGACTCACCTTGTTGTGCTGTGCTCACTTGAACAGGAAGGTGGCGCGGCGGTCCTTCATGGGCAAATCTTGTGGATTTATGGTGCTTTCAAGACAACTGGGAACTCGGAAAAAACAAGGTTGATTCATGATGACATCAGTGATCTTCAGGTCGTAGCTTTAGAAAGAGGCCCGAGTTCCCGACATACAATTCCGAGTTGGATGACCGTTCAAAATGTATTTTCCCAGTCGGAGCTCGTTTATTCCCGAATTCCCTGTTGTCTTGAACTCAGATTTCCCAGTTCCGAGTTAACAGTTGTTTTGAGTGCAGCAGAGATCATGCTGGATTGACAGCATGGCCAATGTTGAATGTTTATAATTTTCAGCTTGGAAAAGAGACCCTTAAACCCAGAATTGGGACCACACACCCACTCCACTGAATAGCACGCTAGTGATTGCTTTGCAATGCTTGCAGTTAGCCACTGATTCCTTCCAAACCACTCATTGTTGAATTTGCGATTTCCAACTTGTTGTGTAATGTTTATGTCCAATGTCCAATGAGCACCGATACGTTTTATCTATATTTCTCTTAATTATTTATCTTCATATGACAAGGATTTAAAAGGATTTGCCAGTAGATTGTCAACTTGATTCATGATGATGACTGCTAGCTAAGATTTTGAAAGTATGATATTGACATGATCAGTCCAATCAAAGCTACTGTAGATATAACGTGATTTGACGTCATTTTATCTGTGGCCAATGACCTTGAGCCTTCTTGGATGGACACTTCTAATGTAACTCTATGGCAGCACCCAAGAGGCTTGAATTTCCGAGCTCTACCCTTAGATTTGGCAGTGACGTAACGTCCCCATGAGTGACAGAACACTGAGCCAATCACGGCACAACTAGAGAACATTACCAACCCCTACGCTCCGTATTTTCCGCTGGCTTCCCCACCATCACAGAAAGCACTGAGCTAGACTGAACACCTGCATTCTGGAGCTGCCTTACTCAAGAAAGCAAAAAGGAGACCATGTTTGTATGCGGCTTTATTAACTGAATGATTTTTTATTGATTTTTTACATTTTTTGCAAACTGATATGTAACACGTATTAATGCCAAAATAACATGCAAAACATGCAATACCATTCTTCCATGAGAAATACCATAATTTGGTGTTTTGTTGATGGTGGTGGAAAGCGCTGTCTCGGGCGCTGCTCAAGAATCTCCCATAAGTGTTCAATTAGGTTGAGATCTGGTGACTGAGACACGCACGCACACACACACACACACACACACACACACACACACACACACACACACACACACACACACACACACACACACACACACACACACACACACACACACACACACACACACACACACACACACACACACACACACACACACACTTTAAACCCCTGAGATCTCTTCTTCTAGCCATGGTAGACAAAATAATAGGTAACCTGCCATTTTTATATCCTACATGACCCTAAGCATGATGGGATGTTAATTGCTTAATTAACTCAGGAACCACACCTGTGTGGAAGTACCTGCTTTCAATATACTTTGTATACCTCATTTACGCAAGTGTTTCCTTTATTTTGTCAGTTACCTGTACATTTATGCAAAATACATTTGAATATTATTCCAATGTTGGCCTTTTTAGAGGCACATTTTTAATGGTGAATTTCTGGCTCTGTTGACAGCCCCATTTATCTATTTCAGTAGAACTCTTATTAAATCACTGTGAATGACCTACTGTAGGTCCTAGAGTAGACCCATGTTGGCATATCAAACAAAAATAAATAAAGTATTTTAATTTGGGAAGGTAAAAATTGCTCTTTGGGAAGGTGATAAAAAAAAGTTGTGATTGGGGTATATAGACCAGACATTTTTGGATTGAACAGAACTAGGTGAAAAATCTGTCGATGTGCCCTTGAGCAAGGCACTTAACCCTAATTGCTCCTGTAAGTCGCTCTGGATAAGAGCGTCTGCTAAATGATTAAAATGTAAATGTAAACAGCTATTTATAACAACAAATCTCAAGGGGGAATGCCACCGGAACCCATTGACCGGGTGGCCCCCGTACCAAAGCACTCACAGGTGGCCCAGTCCTCGCGCTGCAGTCAGAGCAGGAGATGTTCACTCCTCCGCGTAAGAACGATACGTGCTTTCACGTCAGTCTCCAATAACATCAGAAAAAGTCGCTAGATTTGTCACTAGTCGCTTTTTTGAAAATGTGTCGCTAGAGGCGTCTGAATACTCGCTAAATATAGCGACAAAGTCGCTAAGTTGGCAACACTGGCTACGAGGGATCGCGCACATATTGAGCAACAAAAAAAAAAGGTGCGCGCGCTTTGTAATTAGAATGTTCTATGTTGAGGTGTGAATTCCTATTTAGTCCTCAAACGTTTATGTGATATTATATCCCAATTTGTTGTAATATATTATTTTTTGGCCATTGATATTGAAACTAGTGATACATATTGATTATTGATTGAGATATTCATTTAAATTAATGAAATAGCCTACCTGTTTAGGCGCATTTTGGATCATCCCAGTTGTAGGGATGGGCTTTTATTTGGCTCCCCGCAAGCATGTTCATTTGACAGCCTGCGTCCTACCTGAAAGGTAAGGAGGAGCTGTAGTATAGGCCTATTGATTGTTTTTGATTTTTAGGCCTTTGCTCTATGCTTCTCTGAATTTAGAATCAATTTATTTAGATGCAAACTTTTCTATCCATCAGTAAAATGGGCGAAGCCTTTATCAGGGAGCTTCTCTCTCTGTGCCTTCAACGGATTGCTGTGGAGGAAAATGCAATGAACAACACTGAACTTGGTAAGAATGCAATCTGAATAGTGGTTGTGAACTTGTTGCAGAATAATCAATGAAAGTTGATTGCAGGTTTTCTTTGTGGCTCTACACAATACATTTTTGTTTCACAGAATTAGAAGTCCATTCTGCAATACCATATTCCTGTTCAGATGTTTATATTCCATGGGCTTACCTGGGACTTAAATAAGTGAACGCCCAGTCAAATCCATTTTTGTGTGTGCACGATTTCAATCTTGGCATACTACTCCCCTATGCCATTTTGCTTTTGTTCAGTTCGGAACGTTACAGCCCCTAAAAAGATGTGACCAGACAAAAGTGAGATGTTATGGCCAAACTTTGCATGTGCTAATTTCTTGTTATGGTATATCCTTTTTGTTCTGTCATTACACACACATGGAACAGGCTTCTCTACAATGCAATTCTTGCTGCCTATGGCGTTCAAATTGGTGTCTGACACAAGCCTCATCACTTTGGTCTTCTCTTTCTGCCAGAGTTTATTGAGGTAGTGAATAACTATGATGCCACAAGGAAGAAATGGCTACATGCAGAGCTGGAGCTGAAGAGGCACAAGGAGCTGCTGTTGAAATCTGACATAGCCCAGGCTGCCCTGGAGGTCAAACTAAAACACTGTCGCAACCAGGTCGATGTGGAGATTAAGAAGCGCTTCAAGGCCGAGGCAGACTTTCAGTACCTGGTATGGCTCCCTTTAAGCTTGTTACACTGTCCTATTGGAACTCATGATTTGCACTATTAGAGGTCCAGAATGACTTTCACAACGTCATGGTAGGTGTCATATTCATGACAAATCCTAATGTAGTAGCACCATTTTATCTTGCGTAAAACTTGTAAACTTATCAGTGATGCACTTCAACATTCATCAGTAAATGCATGGCTTGATTTGTCAACGCGCACAAATATATACTTTATGCAGTCTGTATATCCTCCTTTAACTGTCATATTGTATTCCTTCACAGCAGCGGCAAATGCAACTGATGTGTGATATACTGGTCCATGACAGCAAGTCCAATGCATGTCTGAATGATGAGCAGAGATCTCTGCTGGCCAACTTCAACCACAGGGGAGCCAATATCCCCCAGCACAAGAGCAAACGGTATTACATGTATAGCCATATCCCATTACTTTTTATATTACTGCTTTTTTTTTCTCAGTTGTATTTTATTGTTTGTTTCTTCTGATTTCTCATTAGATTATCTGTCATCGACGAATCTTCATTCCTGTCTCACTCTGATATTAGTTATGATAGAACTGATGATGACATGGTATGATATTTTTTGTATTTATGACTGAACATCCACATTGAAAGCAAGATAATTAAATGTCAATGACCATCAAAGCTGGATGTGGCTTGTGGCTTGTCCATGTATCACTTTTTGATGCGAACATTTTGTTTCAATATGAACAGGACCTGGATGTGACAGCCGTGAAACCACTTAAGTCGAGGGCAAGGGAAAAAAGGGTAAGAGTGGACCTCTTGAGGTTGAAGCTATGATTATGATGGTGCTTTTGACCCATGTTCTGCACTTTTGGGCATTACCAGCGCTCTTCCATGGGACCAAATGGAGGTGCTCCTGCGGGGAAGAGAGGAAGAGTAGGTGGCCACTCAGACGATCTCCTCGAAAGAAGACCAGTGGAAAAGGTAAGCAGAGGCCAAATATTAGTGATTTTGACCAAACATACTTTTCATAACCTCCCCATGTTGCAGCCTTTTGTTTAACTTTCATAATATGAAAAAAAATTCACTGGAGTTTCAGTTTCAACCACAAAAAACTGACTATCTGAATTGTTCATGTTGAAAATTGATGCTTATTCCTTTGTTTAAAAATGGATGCTTTCTGGTTTTACACAAAATCTTCTGCTAAGAAGTATTTGGCTTCACAATGCAATGGCAGTCCAGTTCTCTGAAAGTTATTTGAACCAGCTGGAGTGGAACTAAGGCCTTTTCACCGGGGAGACTGTGACTTGGTTCAGCAAGTCTATTTTAATCCCTAGGCACAAACACAAGGTTTTTAGTTAAAACGTATACATTCATATTATCAGCAGGTCATTAGAGCTTATGTGTCTTTGAAAATAAATCATTGGACATTTTGTGGGATAGAAAGAACCTTACTGGATTAACAGAGAATCGTTAATATACAGTTAACAAAACATTAGCAGTTCCTGGTTAAACGTTTATTCTGCGGAATCATCTGATGTGTTCCTGGCCATTGTCCCTGGACCTACCCACTTGGCAAAAACTGGTTGAATCAACGTTGTTGCCATGTCATTTCAACCAGAAATCTGTGACTATGTTGAATTGACATGGAAAACTGATTGGCTTTGAAAAAAGTCATCAACGCAAGGGAAATTCTTTTTTTTTTCCCCCACCCAACTTTTTACCTAAATCCAATGACATGGTGACATTTTTTGTTGAATTTGCGTTAGTTGATAACTTGCTCAACTAGGCGTGGAACTGACGTCTGTTCCCAGTGGGTAGTGGGTTGTCACCTATTAGGTGGCTCATTCGTCAGTCTCCAGGCCCTCTGCTCAGTGTCATCCTTTCAGTGCACAGGTGGAAACGGCACTGGACCATACCCATTGTTTGCATCCTAAATGGCACGCTATTTCCTATGGTGTACTACTTCAATATATAAGAAATAGGGTGCCATTTGGGATGCAGTCTTTGTCTGCCTCGGTCACATTCCTTCTCCTCCCACATGCACTGTAGAGATTACTTCACTCTGAGGGAACAAAGACAATTCAGCACTGACTCACTCAAATAGCATGGAATGATCAGATTAGTTTATTAAATACGAATCGTTAAAATGTAAAGCGTTTCGCTCTTATTCAGGAAGTTGAGACTACGATTGTGACAGCATCTGTCACAACCCCAGAGAGTGGAGGTCAAATTCACATGGTGATCGACATCACCCAGGAAACACCTGAGAAACCATCCAGGACTTACCGGAAGGAGCACCAGATTTCATCTGTTGGCGGTAAGGGAGATATACTCCATAGTCGCTGTGGCTCAAGCAACGTTTCCCAATTCCCATTCAATAAAATTGTCTATATTTCTGTCCCTCAGAGCAAACGTCAGTGTGGACTCCCAATGATGAAACCGCTGTTGACCATGAAACTACCGTGGAGCCTGACACCATGACCGAAATGGAGTCCACCACCACAGAGCCTAGATTTAACCAGGTGTTCACTCCCACTGTTAGCAAAGCTTTGAGACACTTCTTCCTGTCTAAAACGGTAAGAACTGTTTCATGGATACCATCTTCCCATGTTCTCATGTTTAGAATGTGTATGCAACTTCTAACCGTCTGGGCCCTTTTCAGGTGATTCGTCCAGAAACGTGTGTGCCATGTGGGAAGAGGATCCGGTTCGGGAAGATGGCTGTGAAGTGCAGGGACTGCCGTGTGGTAGCTCATCCTGAATGTAAACAGAAGTGCCTGGACAGCTGCTCTGCCTCTGCCTTGTGTGGCGCTAATGGATCTGAGGTACCTCAACTCAATATTCCTAAGATTCCAACCTTGCTGTTTGTTCTGTTTGTTAAAATAAAGATTTCTCATTCACTTGCAGGACACGTTAGAGAGCTTTGCCCCACCTACCCAGCCTAGGATCCCTCAGATAATTGTTCAGTGCGTGAATGAAATTGAGAAAAGGGGATTAGAGGAGGTATGTTATTTTCTATCTGGAATACTTTCCATTCAGATATTTATATTTGCCTTGTTATCAACATAAGTTTGACTTCCTCCTCCCTCTGTTGCAGAAAGGCATCTACCGTGTTCCTGGGGGTGAGCGTATGGTGAAGGAGCTGAGAGAGCGATACATTAACAGGAAAAGGCCGCTCATGCTCAGTAGAGTGGATGAGATCCACGTTGTCTGTGGACTTCTCAAGGACTTCCTGAGGAAACTGAAGGAGCCTCTCATCACCTTCAGGCTGCATAGAACCTTCATGGAGGCCTGTGGTATGTGTTCCCACACACTGTTCCAAATGGCACATATGGGCCCTGGTCAACAGTAATGCACTATATAGGGTGCCATTTGGGACTCATCCACTGTCACACCACCAAATGGAAGGGACACTTGGGCTGTGTTTACACAGAGACCAATTCTGATCTTTTCTTTCACAAATTTTGACAAATCGGATAAGCTCTGAAAAAGAGCTGATGTGAAGATCTGACGTGATTGGTAAAAATACCAATTAGTGGACAAAATATCAGAATTGGGCTGCCTGTTTAAACGCAGCCTTGGTTTCTCAAGTGGAGGGTATACAATAGTCAACCTCTCTTGAATTCCTTGAGGTGCATATACAGTACCAGTCAAAAGTTTGGACACCTACTCATTCAAGGGGTTTTTCTTTATTTTTACTATTTTCTACATTGTAGAATAATAGTGAAGACATCAAAACTATTAAATAACACATATGGAATCATGTAGTAACCAAAAAAACAAATCAAAATATATTTGAGATTCTTCAAAGTAGCCACCCTTTGCCTAGACAGCTTTGCATACTCTTGGCATTCTCTCAACCAGCTTAATCAGGTAGTCACCTGGAATGCATTTCAATGAACAGGTGTGCCTTAAGTTAATTTGTAGAATTTCTTTCCTCCTTAATGCGTTTTGAGCCAATCAGTTGTGTTGTGACAAGGTAGGGGGGGTATACAGAAGACAGCCCTATTTGGTAAAAGACAAAGTCTGTATTATGGCAAAAACAGCTCAAATAAGCAAAGAGAAATGATAGTCCATCATTACTTTAAGACCTGAAAGTCAGTCAATACGGAATGTTTCAAGAACTTTGAATGTTTCTTCAAGTGCAGTCGCAAAAACCATCAAGCGCTATGATGAAACTGGCTCTCATGAGGACCGCCACAGGAAAGGAAGACCCAGAGTTACCTCTGCTGCAGAGGATAAGTTCATTAGAGTTACCAGCCTTAGAAATTGCAGCCCAAATAAATGCTTCAGAGTTCAAGTAACCGACACATCTCAACATCAATTGTTCAGAGAAGACTGCGTGAATCAGTCCTTCATGGTCAAATTGCTGCAAAGAAACCACTACTAAAGGGCACCAATAAGAAGAGACTTGCTTGGGCCAAGAAACACGAGCAATGGACATTAGACCAGTGGAAATCTGTCCTTTGGTCTGAGTCCAAATTTGCGATTTTTGGTTCCAACCACTGTCTTTGTGAGATGCAGAGTAGGTGAACGGTTGACCTCCGCATGTGTGGTTCCCACCGTGAAGCATGGAGGTGGTGTGGGGGTGCTTTGCTGGTGATTTATTTAGAATTCAAGGTACACTTAACCAGCATGGCTACCACAGCATTCTGCAGTGATACACCATCCCATCTGGTTTGCGCTTAGTGGGATTACCATTTGTTTTTCAACAGGACAATGACCAAAGTGCTATTTGACCAAGGAGAGTGATGGAGTGCTGCATCAGATGACCTGGCCTCCACAATCACCCAATCTCAACCCAATTGAGATGGTTTGGGATGAGTTGAACCGCAGAGTGAAGGAAAAGCAGCCAACAAGTGCTCAGCATATGTGGGAACTCCTTCAAGACTGTTGGAAAAGCATTCCTCATGAAGGTGTGAGAATGCCAAGAGTGTGCAAAGCTGTCAAGGCAAATGGTGGCTATTTGAAGAATCTAATTTTTTCCATGTGTCATTTCATAGTTTTGATGTCTTCACTGTTTATTCTACAATGTAGAAAATAGTAAAAATGAAGAAACCCTTGAATGAGTAGGTGTGTCCAAACTTTTGACTGTATTGTATGTCAAGTGGTCTTAATTGCCTGTTGAGCAGCTGTGATTGATTTTCTCTGACTACAATTGGTATTGTATTAACACAGAGCACTAGGCTATAATCACTGTGCAGAACCAATGCAGTAGTTGACTGAATAATCTCTCGTGGACTACATAAATGGTACCGTAGATCTGTCATGATACAACGGGATGCATGAGATCAAGCGGCATTAGTTCCGGTGCTTTGTATAAATCACGATTTCGCAGGTGTTGGCATCTTTAGAATTTCGGAAGAAGGGACATTTGGCCCATAGACTTCCCCCGTAACTTGAAAAGAGAAAAGGTGGAGCTCTTCATTCTGATCCTCATATCTCTTCTTTTAACACACATGGACCCAGAACTTAATTGAGTATCTGACCAATTACGCAATACTTTAATTCTGAATGACGCAAACAGTCTTCCAAACAACTTCAGAAATTAAAAAACTATCACATTTAATGATCAGCAAATACCTTATGTTTTATTATGTGGCAAATAACTTCCACTTAACCTCATCCATTCAGGGCAGATGGTGAAAATTAGTTAAGTCGCATTCCCATGTCCCCAGCACTTGATACCTAGTGATGTCCGTGGGAGACAAATTCGACATAAGTGGAAGATGGTATTCGCCCCTGAATGTGCAAAGCAGGATCTGAGTGTTGCACTCAGACTTAGTGATTTCGCCTCTGGTTTTAAGCCGCACTAGAGTATCTGAACGATGCTTTCTACATAAAGAGAATGCATTTGGCAGTAACTCATGGATTGATTTTTAATGATCTCAAAATCGCCTCGGAAACCTTTTAGGTATCAAGTGCTGGAGACATGGAATGCGTTTACTTAAGCTCATCCATTCAGGGCAGATGGTTATTTCATTGTAATTCCTGACAACTCCTTGATGACTGTAAAACAATCAACGCTCAATATTTATCCTAGCCCAGTTTGTCTACTTTCAGCATATTCATTTCAATCTTGTATGATCTTGAGTGAAGGGTAAGTGGTAATTTGCACCGTGCTGGAAATTATCCAATGTAAATCAGTCTCTCTTGCTGCCTCTTAGAAAAGCCAATTTTACTTTAGGACACAGCACCTCCCTTTTTGTTAATTGCGTTGATGTCTGAGGGAGCCCAGGGCTGCCTTGTCTAATTTTCCTTGGCAGCCAATAATGGACATATGCTACAGAGAACCATAATTTCTACACTCGAGGCCTTCTCAGTCATAATGAAGTGAGCTAATCAACTGAAAGATTATAATCTGCTGAGGGAGTATAGATTTGAGGTATAATGTACTGTATCTCTCAGCATTGTTACAATGTTCTTTATCCTAAGGTGTCCCAAGAGCCTCACTGATGTGTATCAATTACAGAAATTCCTGATGATGACAGCGCAGCAATAATGTACCGGGCCATAGGGGATCTGCCTAAGCCCAACAGAGACACACTGGCTTTCCTCATGCTTCATCTACAGAGGTAACACCTATGGGTGATGGGATACCTCTGGCTTTGGAGTGAATTTTGGTTTCTCTCCGAGAGGGCACTGATTTGCAACGTTGAACCATTTTCTCAACTTGCAATTCCATAAATGACGAGTTTCATAACTTGTCACGATAATGGTAGTGAAGCAAAATTGGACCACTCAGATGCAGTTTATTGCATGAGTAAACAGGAAGTCTATATTCAATAAGGGGTCATTTCTTTAATAAAAATACTGCACACTGCCTTATCTCCCACTGTAGAGTCATGCAGAGCCCCCTCTGTCAGATGGACAAGAACAATTTGTCCAGGGTGTTTGGACCAACCATTGTTGGACATGGAATGGCAGAGCCCTCCCCAATGACCATTATGAGAGACACAAACATTCAGCCAAAGGTGGGCACTGTCTTGTGCATAAATGCAATTGAGATCGTCACTATTCCTGATTTTATTATATATAGAGATTATTTTTATGAAGTGCCACAGTATTTCCAATGATACGGTCCTTTCGGTGCTGTAACACTTGCACTGTCAATGTCACCCATGGAGATGGTAATACGATTTGAATTCGGTGTGATGCCTCTGTATATTGCCTCTTTGTATTTGATTTCATCTCTCTCAGGTCATAGGCAGAATGCTGTCGTTCCCTGTTGAGTACTGGAAACGCCTCATCATGGTGGAGAGGGACCAAGTTATATCATCAGTTGTCGATGCCAACATCAATAGCGAGAGCCACAGCACAGACCGCGGTAAACACACAACCTGCCAGCATCACTAAGCTGCTGTGCTATCGAAAAACTGTCCATCAATGGTGACTCAACAGCCTCACCCAAATATCACCGGGGTTGTGTGTCCGCTTTAATGTACACTATGCTGGACTATGACGAAGGCTAAATCATCATGGTGCCTCTAACACGTATCTACCATCTCTTCAGATCGTCTGTTTAAACCGCTGACTTCCCCGGAGCTGAGTAAATACCCAAAGACTCCTACCAGTGGTTCCCTGAAGGGCAGAATGAAGAATGCCTTCAATAATACGTAAGACTACTTGAGTTTTTTTTCTTCTTAAATGAACATTTTGTAATTTGCCTAAATCGTTTTGTTGATGGTATACGACTGATTTGCTAGCTTTTCTCATTGGTTCTTGTAACAATCTTGTCACTTGTGGTGGTCTTTTTATTTTGCAGTAACAGGGCAAAGACTGACCCGGGCAAAAACAAGTTCTTTACTTCCCCCAACTGATATTGTGGTTTCCAGACTTTTAAGTTGGATTAGTTTGTGTGGAATGAAGACTGTTTTTGTATATTCATGAGAAACTAAAGCACTTCACATTTGGCTAGCTATCTTTTCGATGTAAAAATGTAATATGTATGTGTTTGGTATCATAACATGGAGTATGATTTGAAGGGTTAGAACAGTGTACATTCTAGGAACTCCACACTAATGCATGAGAAACTTTGAATAAACTGCATTATGAAACTGTTGTAGTACTGTTTCTAAATGGATAGAGCTGTGAAACGAGACATTTCTGCATGAACGTGAGAATCAAAACCTTTTCTCCTATACTCGGCACTGACTCTTGCAATTTAGTTTAAAAACTGTATTTTTATTTATTTTTTAAACCAGGAGTGCTTGATTGAAGCCAATGTTATTTCACTTTCAAATTAGGCATGCAGCAACCATTTGAATACTGGGTAACAATTTCCCGGTTATGATTGTCACTAGCAAAAAACAGAATCCGAGGCTACTAATTTAAAGTTACTCTCCTACAGCCCCTTCCCCACCCACACAGGCCGAATCTTTAGGTTCCCTGCCATGTTCAAATTGAAAGCAAACATTTCTTGATTGCTATTTAAAATCGGCAATCTGTGATTGGTACATCCATTATTGGACTTAAATAGATTTGTACTCCAATGTTTGTAAACAATTTAATTGTAAACAAACACTGTATAGCCTCAAGGTTAACCTGTTTCTCATGGTTGGTCAGTCCTTGCATCCATAGCTCTGTCTATGAATTTGAAGTGGTACATTTCAACAGCCCCATCCATCAGCTATTTACCAAAACAGGCAGGGTTGCCACTGATTGTCCCTTTAACCTAAAACATGAGACTCATGCATTTCTTTCAGAAGAATGCCAGAATAACTCTTGCAATTAAAATGGTCATGTTTTAATCAAAGCACTCATGTAAAAGGCCCCCAAATTACCCCTCACAAATTGAAGTTCGTAGCTAACAATTCCTTTAATTTTGCAATCTTGACTAAGTCAGCTGCAGACTCACATTTAAGATTACATTTCTCAGTAACTAGGCTAGCACCACCACCAAATGGTAAGTAATGCTAGCAATCCCTGTGCCAAAATATAACCATTGTTTTATTTCCCTTACATGGTAGTGAATACAGAGCTAATCATAGGGATAGTGCAGAAATGTAAAGCTAGAATCCTTAGTTGCTACATCCATTTGACGTGTGTGTGTGTGTGTATGTATGTATATATATATATATATACACACACATCTATCCAATGATTCTTGAAGACTAACTTATACATACCTCATGAGCTTAGTTCAACTGTCGTACCCCATCAGAAGCCAAAATAGAAGCTTGTTTTACTCCAATGTTTGTAAACAAACTGTCTAGCCTCAACATGGTTGCATCCATAGCTCAATTTGATTGGTTACATTTCTCCAGGCCCATTCCTCAGCTTTTTACCAAAACACAGGTGGGGTGACCGCTTTGTTAGTGTTTCAAATTAAGGATTCTCGCTTCAACAGTTAATTTTATAAAACTTTTTTCATAAGTTATGGGATGACATTCAAATATGTTGAGGTAATCTAACCAACACACTATCATCCTCCCAAAGCCTCTCACATGTCAGTTAATTCATAAAGGCTAAAACATTATCTTTCCAAACACCTAAATAAGTCATCTTTATTTGACATCTTATATACAAGAACCCATAGGCAGTGACATTGTTCTTCAAGCTACTCTCATTAATTCATTTGACACTAAATGAACAGAACACAGCAAATTAACTACAGTATAATTTGGTTTTTGAAGCTCCTGTTGAGGTCTTTGTGTGGCAGAACAATTGAGTTGAGTATGATCACCTCCGATGGGATAGTCACATTACATCCTGAAAAAAGAGCAATATTAAAACAATGTCAACTAGAAATCAGCCAATCCTCTGTCGTTCACGCAATGGAAAGGTCAAACGCTTGATCTAAAAATTGAAAAAGCGTGGGCGACAGAGAAATGGCGCAGTTTGAGGCCATGTGGCAGAAAGTGATAAGGGCGCTGGAGATAAGGGTGAGGGCTAACGGGTCTGGGCAGGTGATGTATGTAGTCGTTTAGTATGTATGTTATTGTTTATGAACTAATTTTATACAAAAAGTTACATGATCCAAAAATCAACACTTATCCAATACCTTTCACACTATCTCGCCGGACCGCACTGTGCTGGCTCAGATATTGTAGTCCGTTCCAGCACAGTTTCAGCAACTATGGTGTATGCATAACCAGGCCAGCCCAGTACAGCTCAACTCAGTGTTTATAAGGGTAAAAGTATTAGCAACTTACCAAGAATGGTGATTGATGGTGTGAGTTTTCCATCTCTGAAGAGTGTTTCACTGTCTATTTTGGCAAAGGGGTCATTTGGATTGGGGTCACTGGGAGTTCCTTCAACTCTGGCCCACTTGCCGATAGTGCTGTCCCACCCCACTATACAGTTCAACACACAACTGTGATCCTAAAATAAACATAACAACGGAATTAGGTCACTCAATTATCAATCATACTTATCAACACGTGGACACGATACAAATAAAAATATGATCTGTGAGCTATGATCAAGGGAAGAAGAGCCATTTCAGCATTTATTTTTCGCTTGAGGAACTGGCTAATACAATTTTTTTTTTAAAGACATTTGCCACAAAGGTAAGATATGCCTCTGGTAACTGCTTGCCTGTAGAGTAGCCCCGTGGAGGATGATGGACTCTCTCACGCGCACCCCAGCCCCGATGGTCACTCCTGTGCCTATGGAGACGTTGGGACCCAACTATAGAAAATAAATGTTTTCATTATTATTATTAGGAATATGTTGTTCTTGTGTCTTTGACTGAGGAGTTTTGAATTGTATTGTGCTGCATAGGTAAGTAGTAATACCAAGGACAAGAAGCACTTACCACCGCAGTAGGGTCAATATTGGCTGTTGGGTGAACGTAAACATTTCCTGGGACACAAAAACAAATCACTGGTGTGTAATCACAAACCAGAAACTGCAAAGCTAACAAACGGCAAGTACTGGATTAGCCTACCACTTATTCTAGGCCCTCTATCCTCAGTTGTAGCCAGTCTTTCAGGATGGGTTTTATGGTACTGGTTAAGGTACAAGCGACTGGCGTATATTGCAGACCTGTTAAAAAAAAATGAGACAAAGCCGGTTCATAATATGGTTGGGTATACTACTCCGACATCTTCAGGTTTCACTGACCACACAATAGTTTTTCCACAGATGCAGACTACCTACTCACCCTGCAGATTTGATCTGGCTCCAGAAGGCGGGTGTTTTGTAGACGTAGAGCTTGCCCTGCCCAGCCAGGGCTGTGAAGATGTCCTGTTCTAACCGAATGGCCTCAGCCCGATGCCAGCCGTTGCCATTGGTCTGCTCATCTCTGAGGAAGAGACCAATGTAGGAGATTATTCTGTAGTACAGTGTTTACCAAAGGTAGATCACAACTATTTCTGATTGAATTTGGAAAGGCTATACAAGACAGTTTGAAGGGCTGTAGACAAAGTGAGTAAAGGATTCCCCAAGTGCCCAAGGATACATGGGGAGTGTTAAGTTGACAAGCACAGTAGTATTAAAATGGATTGTGACAGGAACATGCATTGGACAGAAGAGGAATCAGAGACAACATGGTTGACTTGAGTAATGGTACACATACTCATAGTCCAAACTATGAATATCAATACATCACACCAATTATTTTGAATGGGTCCAAATGTTATACTGAAATACTTGATTGTACATGTGATTTGTGAATAACCAATTGTATAAATCTGTATGCCAACGCTCTCAATCTTGAAAAGTGATGAGGACGTGCAGTGTGGGGAAATAGTTTGTGACAAAACAAGCAATGTATAGTGTAGAGAATCATTGTACATCTAAACAACTGAAATATATTTTCAATAACAAAAATATATTGTATTTTCAGCTGTTTGAAGCTGGTGTACAAAACGCAAAATGACACTTAAGCACAGGAGGCATAGAAAGTGCACATCTACCTTCTTCTTAGGCTTTCCATGAAAACGAAATATCTATAACTCACATTTCTGTGAATTGTCAGGTCGCCCAAAAAGTGACATACTGCAGCTTTAAGAATGATCTATCACACCATGTGCTGTTATTGTGACTCCAAAAAGAAATACACTTTTTAGATACATATTTTGGTGTGACGTATTTTACTAATGCACATCTCTACTCTACAACCACACTGTGCACCCTAGCTGTACCGACTTACCCCTCGTATGGATATCTGGTGATGGGTGATGGGAAACAGGAAACAGGAAACAGAATGATGGCAGGAAAGAAAAAAGGAAATAAGACAAATGAGGAGAACCAAGGATAGGAAATGATCACATGCACATGCACCACTCCCACGCATAGAGATCCTAGGATCTTTATAGGATCTCTATGCTCCCAAGATAGGGTCCCCGAGGGATTCCTCCCACTCACAACAGCAAGTCCTGCTGGTTCTTCTGGAAGACTTCCCCAATATGTTGGAAGATCTCCGGGGTAAACAGGTAGATTCCACAGTTGATGATGTCACTAACAAAAGTGCTAGGCTTCTCCACATAATGTAAAACCTGAAATAAGAGCAGATTAGTAAATCATTTCTGAATCAAGTAAGAACTGTCAGATGTTTGTATAAACGCATGTAAAAGGAACCATGATCACAAACGTGAAGTTCATAGGAGCATGTCTAATTGGGTGTCAAATGAAAGGTACGTCTATTTTAGATAAATGAAGGCATATACATTTTTCTACCATTTTCCATCCTAAATATTAGGCTTTGATTTCATGTCAAACAGATGGATAGTCTTAGAAAACATCTAGCAAAAAAGTCTTAAAAGGTGTTCTAAGTACATCAATACTCACTGTTGAAGCAAAGACCCCTGCCAACTAATATCAACACTTATATTTAGTTAGACATTTTTCTGCCTTTTGTAAGTTTAAGAAACATTGCCTTGTGCATTAAAATTCCATTACCAAAAACCCACATATCATTAAGATATTTTCACATTTATAATTAAAGTTCACAGAAGGTAGACCTATTAATTAGTTAGTTTACTGATATACATTTTATTTATGAATTATTACTTGATTAACTCGAAATTCCGAATTTCTGCAATTGAATTGGCTACAATGGGAAATCATAGTAGTCACAAACCAGTTGGGTTCACAAGTTGGGACAGCCCAGTACAGTAAAGAAAAGTAGAGTATAGTTCAGTACAGTAGAGTTCAGTACAATACACAGTAGAGCACACGAGTTGATTACACTGTACTGTATTGTAAAGTACTCTACTGAACTACACAGCGTACAAAACATTAGGAAGACCTTCCCTAATATTGAGTTGTACCCCTTTTGCCCTCAGAACAGCCTCAATTCAGCGGGGCATGGACTCTACAATGTGTCGAAAGCGTTCCACAGGGATGCTGGCCCATGTTGGCTCCAATGCTTCCCACAGTTGTGTCAAGTTGGCTGGATGTCCTTTGGGTGATTGACCATTCTTGATACACATGGGAATCTGATGAGCGTGAAAAACCCAGCAGCGTTGCAGTTCTTGACACACTCAAACCAGTGCACCTGGTACCTACTACTATACCCCGTTCAAAGGCACTTAAATCTTTTGTCTTGCCCATTCACCCTCTGAATGGCACACAAACACAATAAAAATCCTTCTTTAACCTGTCTCCTTTCCTTCATCTACACTTATTGAAGTGTATTTAACAAGTGACATCAATAAGGGATCATAGCTTTCACCAGTCTCATGGAAAGAGCAGGTGTTCCTAATGTTTGTACATCAGTGTATCCTTTACTGAACTGTGCTGAATTATACTGTACTGAGCTCTACTTTGATGTCCAAACTTGTGAAACATAGATGTTTATAATTGGTTCAGATTTGGTCCGGTTTGAGGGCAGAGCTCATTAAAATAATAACCAGTGTGTAGAATAATACCCAAATATGCAAAGAAGGCTATTGCATATTTATACCTTTGTGTACCTATTTAGGATACATCACCATGAAGAGAATGACGTTCATATCCATAATTATGCATTTATGTGTGGTAAAGATCAAGGACCCATGATGAAATTCCGTTGCCGCAATTCCGTTACGGGTGTTGATCCACTTCACTTAATGTAGTTCAATAACCCAAATAGATTTTTTTCAAAGTCAATGTGTCATGTCATAGCTGACACCCCATTCTTTATGCAGACATAGTTTAATCTAAATTTGCAGCAGTATTTAAGAGAGTTTTGAAAACGTGGACACACAAACTGAGGGAGATTTTACAGAAATTCCATTACCTAAATTTGCATCTGCACAGTTCTTCCAGTAAATGTGTTTTTGTAAAATGTTCAGTGTAAATTGTTAAAAGTAGTCCTTGTGCATAGAGTTTGTTAAAGTTTGAAATTAATGTTTTTTGTTTGGCATACATTTTAAGTGAAAGATCTGAGTCTCAGCACAATTCCGTTACAGTGGAATTGCCCATGACTAAAATGTGCTGCATCATCACCTCATTTGTTTGCTGGTTTTCCACAATACAGCCATAGTTCATGGACTGCTTTCTGTTTGCCTGCAAAACAAAGAAGAAAAAAACTATTCAAAGTCAAAGGAATTATACCCCAATGTCCCCACCAAACATACTCCCAACAGTTCATTGGCCAACTTTTCCTTGTATTATTCAAGGCCTTAGCCATAGAAATCATGGGAGTCTCCTCACAGTTGTCCCCAGGATGATGAAACTGCTTGGCTCTCCGTGTTCTTTCTGGAAGTTGAGCATCTCTGGTAGAGGAAACTCAGAGCACACGTCAGCATTCATAATGAAGAATGCCTCAGGGCCACCAGATAGAATCTGATCTCTGAAGTGGTAGATTCCGCCCCCAGTGCCCAATGCAGCATACTCCTGCAAATACCTACAAGAGTTTAAACAAGTTTATCAATGATCCATCCATTCTGAATGTGTTCTATGCTTTATCTTGTCTTATGACATTTCTGTAAGATCCTCTTGTTTACCTGATTGAGATTTTGAATTCCTGCTGTGCGCTACACATGAATCTGGTAAGTTCTTCATTTGGCTGGTAAAAGCCGATAAGCAAAATCTCCTTCATATTTGGCACCTATTGGGAGAATTAAAAACATGTTTCTTTCCACCAATGAAAAATATGTGGAAATTGATTATTTTATCAGTCCTAACCGACCTTGGCACATGCTTCAATGTGATGCTGTAGCATGGGCACACCAGCCACTGGAAACAAGGGTTTCGGGACCTCAAATGACAATGGTCGAAACCGTGTACCTGTATGACAATGAAAGTTACCTGCTCAGTTGATCACATTACATTTTCAGAATTGACCTTAGGAAAAGTAAAAACAAATTATTCCACTCTAGATTATATTTGATGTAGTAGAAAGCACTCCAAACTATTATATTATATTCTAAGACGTTGAAAGCACACAACTCGTTCAATTAATGACAATTCAAGTACCGGTAACGTTAGCTAGCACAGAATGTTTATGCAAGTCTATCAACTATCTTGGTGGCAAGCTGTCAGCCCATGCAATCGTGTTTGTTAGCTTTTTCGACCAAATGCTTATTGCCAGAATGTTTAGATATGCAAGCTGCACCTGAGGGTTTCCATGAACACGCCACGTCATTCATTACAACTAGTTAGCTAGCCCTTTAAAGCAAGGCTAACTAGCTAACGTTAGCGAGATACATGGCTCTAGAGCAGTACTGGAGAATGAACATGTATGCATTTGTAAAAGAGTTATTTATTTAACACTTACCTTTCTGCGGGCCTCCAATGAGAATCACAGCCTTCAGCATTTTGAATGTGTAGCAAACTGTCTAATCTGGATCAATTATGCTCTTCCGGATTTGTTTGTTATGCTGAAAACGTCACCACGTAAAACTGAGGATTATGGGAATTTGAGTTATTTTGTGGGTCATAAAGCGAATCTTATACCTCAGTCACAAATAGAACAATAAGCCAGATAGTTCCCCGGATGTATAAATGTGAAGCAACCGGTTAGCGTTTCCGTTTACTACCAAATATGGTGATGAGAGGAAGCCCAATGGCCGGCAGTAGGAGAAGATGGATTTAGGCCGACATTCTGCTAATTTTCTCACTATGAAACATTTGATCTCCATACAGTTTTCTGTTTCCAAAACTAGAATCTGTAACAAACAGAGAGGACTGCGTTTTTGTAGACTTTACCCTTTGCCAAAGTTTCGTTGTTTAGGCGTACAGGGGCGAATTGAGTTATTGCACACGCTCACTTCAAAGAGCAGGTGTTCCCTAACAGAAATATGCAAATATTTGCTAGAACAAGCCCATTGGATCTCACTAGCTCGTGCTTGGCTCTGCCCACCTCCTTGCTTGTTCTGCCCACCTTGAGTAATTTGCTCCCATTCAAAACGACAGGCGCTGTTCTATCTTGCGTTTGTTCTAAAAAAATATTAGCCACATTGGTGCAAATGAATCGGGATGAATGGGTTGTCACTAAATTGAGTACAGCAACAGCTACGACCGGAAGTGACTTTTCGTAGCAGGTTAAGAGAACATTTTAGGTAACCCTAACCCCTTTCCTAACCTTATCCTAATTCTCTTAAACTGCTACGTTAATTTTTCGGTTTTCCAGCCAAATTGTGCTTTGAAAATGATGTGCTGGTGAAAATGTATTTGTCGTAGGTGGCGGGTTTTTGCGCGGCCGCCATGGCATTTCTATATAAAAATATATGTGTATATGGCACATAATAATGGCACAATTGCAAAAAAAAAAAGTGTTTCTTGCACAGAGATTTCGAGATCCTCTGTCCAACTTTCAACACTCAAACTCTCCTGTCGGATTTATCTATAGTTATGCACATGCGCAAACGGGATTTATTTACATTTACATTTTAGTCATTTAGCAGAAGCTCTTATAAACTGGGTGGTTTGAGCCCTGAATGCTGATTGGTTGAAAGCCATGGTATATCAGACATGTACCACGGGAATTAGAAAAACATACTTTTTACTGTTCTAATTACCTTGATAACCAGTTTATAATAGCAATAAGGCACCTCAGGGGTTTGTGGTATATGGCCAATATACCACGGCTAAGGGCTATGTAAAAATACATGTTTTGTCATACCCGTGGTATACAGTCTCATTACCATGTCTTTCAGCATTCAGGGCTCGAACCACCCAGTTTATAATACTGGTTGTGACACGATTTGAGAGCCCTCGTTTGCTCCAAAAGTGGTTGTAGCCTTGACTGCATGCTGACAGTGAATTCAGAGCCATTCAGCCCTTACAAAAAAGATGGCCGTTTTGAAACTGCAGTAAGTGCACTAGGCCTAACTGCAGTCGACTGTGATATTTGGGACGCAGTAATTGCAGAATAACTAGTTGAACTGCAGTTATACTGCACTATAATTGCAGCTACACTGCAAAATTACTGCATCCAAAAAAAAGTGTTATTTTGGATGCAGGGAGTGGCTAGCCTAACTACAAACATAATTTTACTAGGTTTCTGAGTCCACCACAACATACCAAAGAGCTTCCTGATTAGCAAGGAGTAGTCTGGGTTTAATTTGATTGTGTATTAAAAACACAGTTTGAGTTTAAGATCATTGTGAGGGGATTTTGCCAGTGGTTAGGTAGTGAACGTAATTTATAATAAGGGTTACATGGAGAAAATCGGACCTCTGAAATGAAAATAAATGGCCCTCCCTTCAACAAAATATATTTTACCTAAACCCTCTCTGAACGCTTGAAAAAAAAAACAAGGGACCCTCCCCTATACCCAAAATAATAATAAAAACATAAAGTGGATAGCAGAGAACATGTCTACCATTTACACTCACTTATTTGACAGACCAGGGGCCAGATTCACTAAACCTTCTTAAGAATACATTTCTTCTTAACTGCCATTTTTTCCTTAACTATAGACTTAAGAAGAAAGTTAAGCAAAGTTGCTATTCCTCAAAAAGGTTCTTGGACATTTTCTTATGCAATTTCTTGTTTCTCCTTAAGCAACAAGTTAAGAAGAAATTAAATTCTTGAAAATAAAGTTATTGGAAATGTTCTTTATTCCAAGATAGCTAAACCCTTGTCTTAAACTCAGGGCAGTGAGAGAAAAAGCTCATGAAAGCAATTGAACATGTTTAATTCACTCACAAACTTCATCTGAAAGTTTCAGTATTGATTATTTTAAACCCAATAACATGTTTTAGAACAGTAATCTCAGTAGGAAATATGCTAACATGATTGCCATTGCTAGCTAGATAGCTAGCTAAATCAGTTGCCTAGCAACAAACATCTTAAGAAGATTCGTAAGAAGATATTTAAGAAATTCGTAGGAAAATCATTAAATCTTAAGATATTGTTGAGGAATTGCACTTACGAACTATCTTATGAACTTCTTTTTTTATTTTCTTAAGATACTTCTTAAGTTTTTTCATATGAAGTGTTTTGTGAATCTGGGCCCAGAGCCTTAGATATGCAGTTTTAGTAACTGTACTGTAAACATTACATGGCAACACAGCAGCTTTGATAGCGCACAGGGCTGCGGGGCAGAAGGTTATGGGTTCACCGACCACCATGGACAAGAGTAGGGGTGGAAAGAACTCCTTTATAGTAAAAGCATAGCATGAATCTATCATGGTATTTGCAGGTCTGAGAAAAAATTGCCTTTTATAAACATTTCATGTAATTCTAAGTCCTTTTACATATTAGCAGAATATTTTTTAATACCACACAAATTACAGGTTAAGAATGAATAGAGAGATAGGCCTGTGTTCATCTTATCATATTTTTCCAATGCCAAATCAGTGTCTTGTTTGCAAATAATTAAATCTGAGATGTCATTTTCTGTCTCCTTGGCTATAGAAGGTTGTAGCTCAGCCTCTGAATGTCAAAGAAACAAAATAATGATATCCCCATATGCTAACAAGGGGTAGGCCTGTGCTTTTTGGCATTTTCTTTAATAGAAAGTAGGCCTATGGCATACCCTCTCATACCCCATCAAATCGAGTCTTGGTTTGAACTTAACAGCCCTTCACTGACACGGAGGTAACCTATTTAAAGAGTGCATGGTTGGTGGAGGAATTGACTGAAAAATCTATGGATATAGCAGCCTAATTTTGTCTGTCAAACATGTAGCACAGGTTGTTGGTGGCACCGTAATTGGGGCGAATGGGCTTGTGGTAATGGCTGGAGTGGAATTTGTGAAGCGGTATCAAACACATGTTTTCCATGTGTTTGATGCCATTCCATTTGCTCCGTTCCAGCCATTATTATGAGCCGTCCTCTCCGAATCTGGTTTATTGTGAGGTCAATAACTCTGATAAATAGGCCTACATCATGTGCAAGAAACATATTGTTCTTAATAAAATCAATTATATTAGTAGCAAGCCATCAAAGTTGACCTCCGTTCCTCCTCATCTTCGCGCTCGCCTCCTCAAACTGAACAGAACATAGGCTATAGGCTAGTCCACACTCACGATAGTGAATGTTTTTGGACTAGGTTAATCAAAAATTATTTTCGGAAGAAGCCTTTGACTCTCCTCCTGAACTACCACCGTAGGCCTACACAGCACAGCCATTGGTTAGGCAGCACACAAAAAAAGTTTTGGATTACCAAGAGCAGAGCAGGCCGGGGATCAGGGTTGGAATATCGATTGCAGTGTGTAATGCAGCCTAGTGTTATTTACACCATCCCAGCAGGTATCTTATCAATATAACTTTGCTCAGTGCTTCTCCGAGCATGCACTTCGTAGCCTATAGGCTGTGGATCATTTGATTGAGACCACACTAAATAGCCTATAGGCGCACTTGATATTGCCCAGCGGATAATCAGAGATGAGGGGCAGCATCGGGCACACATCGCTATATACCATAATAAAAAACTCATTCTAAAACACTGATAAATATAATCAATTACAAATTGCATGACTCTCCCCTGGACTAAGATTTTTTTAAACTAAACTCTCCCCTTGACTGAAATTGAAAAAGCATGACCCTCCCCCATTTTCCTCCAGGGTCAATTATGTTATTAAAAAACTTTAATGGGGCACATGTATTTATCTTCCTCATCATTCCCTTCTTCCCACTACTAGAATTCCTTCATGTCTCTCCAAATCCAGTTCAAACCAGGCAAGTCTAACACCTGCTTCGCACTGATACCTGTTTTGTTCACATCACATTTTATGCATGAAACATGCCTAAGGTCCAAGTAGATCATGAGCTTCAATAAAAGACAACTACACAAACAGGTGCAATAACCAAGGAGTTGACTTTTTATTTGCTCATTAAAATATAACCTGAAATGATCACTGGAATATTCATAAGACTGAAAGGAGCTCTGAGATGAATCTCTCTGGAGAAGTTACTGGTTTGAAGGCTTCTTCAGCTCCCAAAATGTACAGTTAGAGAGGAATGCTTAAAGCAACAGTAAATAGGAGGTTGGATCTGCTAATATTGGATCTCTAAAATTGATTGTGAAGCTCAACAAAGTAACTTATAGATGATTGGAACATGATGCGCAAAACATGCTAATATCGGTTCCATGATTTGAATGGGATTTGTGCAACAAATGCTAAAACATTAGCATGTGGAAACTGTGCCAGGGAAACTAAACCAAAGCATGGATTGTTGTCATATCCTTTCCATAGACTGCTTATAGGTTAAGGAAACCAAAATGTAATTTCAAATTTGGGTGAACTATCCCTTTAAATTCCCCTCATACAGCATGTCATATGTCTTGAATTTAAACAAACCAGCACAACTTATAATAAACACATTTCCCTACCATTCATGAGAACAAAAGGATTCACCACTAGGGTGCAGCATGTAAGAGCCAATCAGATTGTGACGTTTCAGGATCAGGATGACAGTACAAAGGCCATTTATGATTAGTTAATGACAACGCAAAAGATATAGGTGACTAAAGAAAAAATGAAAATACAACAAATAATGCATAAAATCTTTATTGCAATAAAATCCCTTTCATTTTAATCAAATAATCAGTGCACTCAATCTTCTACCAAATATCAAACGTATCATTGATGATAGCTCGTAATTGTCTCCTTCAATGCAATATAAAGGATATCTCAATTGTTAAGTAACACGTTCAAGAAAAGTAGTTATAAAAAATATTCAACCTTTCAGAAGACAGCAGTCACCAATATAAAGAATACTGTAATTATTATAAACTAGAGGGTTTATTTCATTCATTTCTACACATAACAATAACTTAATCTATAGCCATTTGAAAAAAATCATAAAATGGCAACAATTCTTAATAATTTTATCACAGCATACAATGTGGAGTTATATTATCAATTCAGCCAAAATAAAATATAAAACATGTGCCCATTGACTGAAGTGGTATCAATATGGTCCAGTAAAACTGAGTTAACATGCATGTACCTGTCTGAAGCTTGTGTTTTAACCGTAAAAGATATAATACACGCTTTCCAATATCAATCTGTTTACTCCTATTACACTGCATGTCAAACAAAAACCAAACCTATAAAAGCAGCTAACTATGAACAAACGTACCTATCCCTTGATCTTTATAGTTCAATATTAATTCAATCTAACAACAAATAACAAGAATGTGCAAACAAGTCTTTTAGACACTGAGTCTAGTTTGAGTACCAGAAGCTGTACAATTGTTTGAAAAGACTGCTGCATTACGGGAAGTCACTTTTACAGTAAAGTAATACATTTGTTGACCATGTCAACTTTTAGAGTCACACACACAAGATCAACTTTACAGTGAGGTGCTACAACTAGTGTCCTGAACTAAACGTTTCTGTGTGCTTATTTCAAGCAATAGGTTTCATATTTGTCACCTGCAATATTAGAGCTGGAAGGTCAGAACAACCAACATGGAATGGAACGGAACATGGCATTCTTAAAGGAATGCTAGTGGAAATGCTACCTGCCTGTATTTGTTTTGAACCTCACATTACATAAATATAGGAGTTCCCCATTGGCTTAATTCACCTAAAGGCATTTTGTTCTAATTTATTCTCATCACTATCTGCCCTTGTAAATATCCTTGCGCCTTCGCAGCTCCTCCAAGATGCGAGCCCGGAACAGTGTCCAGTCCTCATCCTGGTCCTGCTGGAGGCCCAACGCCTGGTGCAGCTCAGAGGAGAGGATGCGCAGGAATGGGTTGTACTCCTTCTCCTCCCCAATGGTGGAGGGACTCTGAAACCACATGATTTTGTAAACAATGTATGAAGAACAAAACAGTAATAGTAATTCTCTCAATTCAACATACTATAGGTAGTTTTTGCCTTAGATTTTCTAAGTAGAGGTCTGGAAGGTTTCTTCAATTAATAGTTTGATAGAAATTACCTGCATGTACTGTATGTAAAGACAGAGACTTATGCTCATGTAGCACATGGGAATGTTTAAAACGTACTCCTCAGCCTGAAGTGTCACCAATTGCGCCAGCGGAGAGCTAGCTTTACGCCTGGCGCCGACTGGTAAGACGCTTCAAGGAGCGTGGTCACGTGTGCTAGCAAGGCAGAGGTCCTGGTTTCGAGCCTCCGTGTGAGCTGGATCAGGAGGAAGCGGTACTCACTGCGTAACGTGCTTTACACTAGCTGGTAGTCACAATACGTTTCTGCCTGGGCGGTGACTTGTTAGCCGGCTTTTGGCCGTTAAAAAAATTGAAAAGCCGATAAAATTGGCTCCAGGCAACAAAAAAAAAAAAATCAGCCAAAAAAATCTCATTGCGAAATAATGCTTTTTAGCCCATTAATTGATGGCAATACCAGTTGATGGAAATACATTTGACCGGTCATGCTTATTGGTCTATAGGAACATTTGCATAATTTAGTGGAATTAAATTGGCACGTGTGTATATTCGTTATGTTTCTTATTTATCCCACGTGTACAGCATACAGATACAGAGCCTTTGAGCGGAAAATCTGTCAGACAGCGCTTTTATACCCCAATCATTGCGCAACCATTCTAAATGCAATGTTAAAAATAGTTTTTGGGCCACAATTAAAAATAGCTACTAGTTTTATTTCTCAACTGGTAATTGAAGCGCGTCACACCACTTTTCAATGAGCTGGAGCCAGTATGCATTTTGAAAACATATAGCTTCTTAATTGTTTGAAACCTGAACATTTTACTACATTTTATGAGGCATGTTTGACCTTGCTTCCTAGTAGCCTAGCCAAAATCAGACCATATCCATGGAGGCAATTATTCTATAAAGACTTCCATACCCATTGAAACCAGTAGCCTACTTCTCTCATGTTCTCAACTTTATTTTATTGTCCGGTAACCAAATGCACATTGTTAGTAAAGCTTCCCCTGTGGGCAGAGGCATCAGACCAACACCCTGATCCCAGTAGCTAGGATCTGTCAAATCCATAGCAAAGACTGGTCTTATCCTCCTGACCAAATGAAAATCCCACCCACAGCTCTAGTCTGGCATGCATTCCACCGTTGGAATCTGCCTCCACTAACTTCAAAGACACAAGGAGTGTGGGATCACTGATTGGTGGTTATTTTTAGTCTCCTACATATAAGTTTAATTGACATGAGGTCATGAGGACATGATTTGCACCATTTAACAGATACAGTAGATACACTGACTGTTGCACCACCAAAGAGACCTGTGCATGATGGGAGCATTCAGAGAGGAGGGAGTGCAAAGGCATTTTGACAAAGCCTGTCCTGTGGGCCGCTGACAAGCCTCTCTTCCACACAGCCTGGGATAGTGAATACCTTTGGGAATTGATACCAGTTAGGAATAACAATGAGGATGGATTATTCTCCGTACCGTACACAGCTTTTGACCTCTCTGTTGTAGGACCCACTGATATTTATTTTCCCTGGCAGCATTGTGGGGCTCCACCTCAGCAGCAAACATCAGGTTATCCTCTGCATACTCATGGCCTGGGAAATACGAGTCCGCACACACGGAACACAGACATCAACACAACTCTTACAGAAGACTGGTTCTGAAATATTTTGTTTGTAATTCTATTGCATATATTTGCACTTAATGCAAACAAAAGGGAGAAGGTCATTTTCCTACCAGGCCATAAGAGGGTTTCATCACTTAAGGAGCAGACCGTGTCTAGTGATGACAGCATTGTTAAGGCACTGCCTTCAAACATCCTCCCTGCAGACAAAATAGATGATCTACTGTAATTACCAAGTTATATACACAACACAGCGGATGAAACTCAAAGCAAACTGCAGCATAGTGCATTACAGCTACAGAAGCCGGACAACTGAACCTGCTTTTCAATACATGCACATTGCTCACTAAATGCTTCAAAATAACTACAGAGTTGATTCGGAGCTGGACTTACCGCATCCAGAGAGAAACACCAGGTCACCTGAGAACAGGCTGGAGGGGGCTCCTATGGCATGACCATCCAGGAGGTAGATCATATGACCCACTGTGTGTCCAGGTGTGAACAGTGCCTTGAAGTGCATACGGCCCACGTCTACGGAGTCTTTGTCTGTCAGTGGGCTAGAAACCAAGCAAAAGACAAAGGCTTCATGCATGTGGTCATCAGATAAGTTAATGTGACCACCTGGCCAGTTGATGTGCATATTCAAGTCACGTACTATTGCTTACCTATTCACACCACTCATAACTGTGAGATGCTTCAAAGTACAAATAAGTAGCCTTGCACAAGCCTTGGTTTGTGTGAACCAGAACGGCTCATCGGAGGAGGAGCCTGTCTCTGTAGCGTGAGTCAGCTTGATGTACAAGTACATCCCCTGGACAGGACGCTAGTCTACCACAGTGCTGTACCCCCAATCTATTATATACAGTGCTTGACTTGGGCTGGAGCTGTCCGGAACACTGTACCGGCACTTCCAATTTTTGGGGAATTGCGTACTGGCTCCTCTATAAAAACGCTTAAATATGATCAATCAATTAAAAAACGACATATCAGCCATTATCGGAATGACCTTTTAGTGCATGTCTGTGGTGCTGCCTGTGTGCCAGTGCGAGTGGGCTGTTGCCCAAGGAGAGAGAGCGTGACATTTCAGCAGCAGGTGTAAAATAATGACAGAGTAAATAGATCACCAATTCAAAACATAACTAGCGAGATAACTGCTACAATTTAACTATAGCTAATTAAGCATTCATTTGGTTGTCGCCTTTCCACCAGCACTGGATTACCCTCTATTAAACAGTAGCCATGTAATTGCGACAACGTAAAAAAAATATTTTAAGAATTGCCTAATTGACAATTAACTTGCTGTGCTTAGATCTCCCCTGAAACATGAATATTTGAGCCTTATATATAAACATGTCTAGTTAGATACCTTGCTTCGAAGTAGCCTACTTTATCCATTTGATCCCTGATTTATTGAATGAGGAAATAATTTTATAAAGGCAAAAGTATTTGGTTGTAATGTTGAAAAAGCCTGCACACCCAGGAGCTCTCCAGATGGAGGGTTGACAACTTGTGACTAACAGTGCAGTTCAATATTACATTTTAGTCATTTAGCAGACGCTCTTATCCAGAGCGACTTACAGTTAGTGAGTGTATACATTTTTTCATACTGGCCCCCCGTGGGAATCGAACCCACAACCCTGGCTTTGCAAGTGCCATGCTCTACCAACTGAGCTACAGGAGGGCTACGTGCCTTGATCAAGGGCACAATGGCAGGAGGTGGTAGGTCTAAATGGGATCAGACACAGCAGCTTTCCAGTGTCAATAATGCTTACATTTAGGCTATAATAATAGTCGTGAAAATGTGGTTAAAATCATGGAGAAGTCATGGAAAATGTGTATAAACCGTTAAGAGACAGATCAGAGATCTCTATAGCATAATGTAATTTGTGAATTTCGGTGAACATAGTCTAATGGACTGACTTGGAAAAAGACATCTCCTGCATTTCTTCCATCCCAAGTCAAGCACTGACATATAGATGATTATATGAATGAATATGCACTGATTAACATGCTAATACAAACCAATAATAGTGAGAAACTGTGATGATCAGAGTGAATCATTTGACCTCTTCTGATTTTATGTAATCTGAGACTGAGGAGATAATTCTCCACAAATCCTTAGCAGACAAATTAAAAGACAGTGCCATGGGAACTACTGTTGACATTCTGTTTAGCAAGTGAAATGCATGTTTGCCCTCTGGATCAATATCATCAATGATACATACCAACCTCCTCTATGATTCTGAATCACAGAATTGGGCAAATAACATGCAATTTCCCATATAATATTTGCCATAACTACACATTTTCACTACAACATAATGATGAAAGATGAAGGCTGAAATTCCAAATACAACGGAAAAGCAGTCAAAGATAGGATCATGACTTTTTAAGCAGCTGTACCCTAGACTTACTGTGTGAGGCCAGGAATGTTATCAGTTGCATTCCCATAAACACGACATGAGCTGTAGAGTTTTTTAAGTCCTTTGTTACCCCCACTGTGGTCCCTAGGGATAAAACAGAATATGTCTATTAAAAAAAACAGCTACTTATAGATGTGTGTAGATGAACAACACAGAACAACACTGAATATCATATTGCAACGTGAGATAGAACATTTGATGTAGCATCAACCAAAAAAAGATTGAATAGATCCATTGATATGTATGACACATACAACCCAGTTAATCTAACTCGATCTACAAGGAATTTGCATTAAAAGTAATGATGCTCTGTTCTCACCAGTGTTTATGCGTGCAGAGGATTGCTTCTAACGTCACCCCTTCTTCCTCAAGGACTGACTAAATGGTTCCAGACAGAAACATCAATTATAATCGACAGGGTATAAACATTCATATCATGCCAGTGGCTAAACCCACCACTTGAATTCACTAGATATAGGCAACACTAGATGGATGTAAAACACAGACTGGAACTGAAAAGTCCTGGAACTATAGTGTGTTGTATTATGTATAACAACTAGAGATAATATCAAATGTTTGCAGTAATTTGGGATTTTTTTGTTGTTGTTGAGAAAATATGAAACATGCACTTCCAAAAACATGCTGTGGATTTATCTAGGACACCATAAACCCCAGTGTGGCCTAATCCAGACTGAGCTCATTTGGTAGAGCATGGCGCTTGCAACGCCAGGGTTGTGGGTTCGTTTCCCACGGGGGGGGGGGGGGGGGGGGGGGGGGGGGGGGGGGCATGAAAAATGCATGCACTCTAACTGTAAGTCGCTCTGGATAAGAGCGTCTGCTAAATGAATAAAATAAAAAAAGTCAAATGTAATCTTGGAATGGTGACTTATTTACTGAATATCCAATGTAGCATAGGCCTATAAAATGCCAAGCTCACCAGATGCTTTGTTAGTTAACATGACATTGTCTTCATAGTGTCCCATCTATTTCAAGAGAGAGTATTATATGGTCAGAAATTATATTTACAAAAGGCATAACCATTTCCCATCACCCACCTGAACTGTCTGTGGGTCTGCAGGGTCTACCACCACTGCAACGCTCGAGGCCGTGTCAATGACAAGGTAGCTGTAGTTATCAGACAGTACTGAAATGGGCATTATTTTAATACCTGTAGATAGAAGAGTGAAAGGAGACGTGTAAGTCATGCACTGATCTTTATGCTAGCTCACATTCATCGACTAAACATGAGTAACCTGTTGTTGGAATCACAACTACCATTTACTTCCATGGGCTGTGCTCTGGAATGTCCAGTGGGGAACTGCTCGCGTGCCTTCCTCATCTGCCTCTTGTAGTACAGGTAACCAAGTTTGGTTCTTGTGTACAATGTATACCTAAAATGTAGTAGCCTGTGTTATTTTCATTGCTACATTATTTGCAGGCAAAATAATGACAGATGTAGCTAGTTAGGCTAGCTAACGGTAGCATCGCTTCATTTTGTAAGAAGTGAGGAACGAGAATGGAAAAAATACAATTTGATTCAAATCCTGAAGCTTCAACCAACTTACGCGATCCGAAACAGTGGTTTCTCCGTGCGTGCCATTATTTTACCAAAAAAGCTTTTCCAAATGGTACGTCCTGTGCGCCTAAAACGAAGACATAAATATAACACACTGCAAAATGATGCAGTTGCAATGAGGGTTACCGACCAGTCAGGAGGCGCCATATTGCGTGGGCGGTGCAACATATGACTCAATTTTCGTCGCATTTATCGGAAGTGTTTTGTGACCAACATTAGCGTGAACAACAATTGTGGAATCGTCGATTCGCCTTCAAAATAAAAATACCCCATTGAAACTACAAATGTTGAAAACATGCCACAATTGTACTAGATAACGCTAAACAAGGTTAGAATGTTGTTATATAAATTAAACAAAATACAATTATTAGTTAATTTGCCCCCCAAAATTCTAACATTTGTTGAAACCGCACTGTGGATGTATTAGACTTCAGAATTGCATTGGGGGCATGCTTACAGAATATACACTGTACAGCCTAACCATGAAATGAGGTATCAGCCTACTCAGTAACACCCACAGAATACAACTATGTAGAGTTTACCCAAATATTAGCGTCTTAGCTCTATTGAGTGTTTTGGACATTCATATTGCACTGTACAGCCTAACACATGGATTATGCACCTATGAAATTGGGGTATCAGCCCACAGAACACAACTATGTAGCTATGTAGACACTAATAATTGTGTAAACTCTACATAGTTGGGTTCTGTGGCTGTCACTGAATAGGCTGATACCTCATTTCATGGGTGCACAATCAGTGCTTGATGGTGAGCTGAGTACCGGCACTTCAAATGTTCTACTGTTACCTACTACCATACCCCGTTCAAAGGCACTTCAATTCAAATCAAATCAAATTGTATTTGTCACATACACATGTTTAGCATATGTTATTGCGGGTGTAGCGAAATGCTTGTGTTTCTAGCCCCAACAGTGTAGTATACACAGGAAGCGGCGCAGGAAGCGGCGCTTACACATGCCTTACACAGGAAGCGGCGCAGGTCCTGGTCCAGGCACTTGTCATCTCCCGTCTGGACTACTGCAACTCGCTGTTGGCTGGGCTCCCTGCCTGTGCCATTAAACCCCTACAACTCATCCAGAATGCCGCAGCCCGTCTGGTGTTCAACCTTCCCAAGTTCTCTCACGTCACCCCCCTCCTCCGCACACTCCACTGGCTTCCAGTTGAAGCTCGCATCCGCTACAAGACCATGGTGCTTGCCTATGGAGCAGTGAGGGGAACGGCACCTCTGTACCTTCAGGCTCTGATCAGTCCCTACACCCAAACGAGGACATTGCGTTCATCCACCTCTGGCCTGCTGGCTCCCCTTCCTCTGCGGAAGCATAGCTCCCGCTCAGCCCAGTCAAAACTGTTCGCTGCTCTGGCACCCCAATGGTGGAACAAGCTCCCTCACGACGCCAGGACAGCGGAGTCACTCACCACCTTCCGGAGACATTTGAAACCCCACCTCTTTAAGGAATACCTGGGATAGGATAAAGTATTCCTTCTAACCCCCCCCCCCCCCCCCCCAAATTGTAAAGTGGTTATCCCACTGGCTATAGGGTGAACGCACCAATTTGTGAGTCGCTCTGGCTAAGAGCGTCTGCTAAATGACGTTAATGTGCCCTTGAGCAAGGCACTTAACCCTAATTGCTCCTGTAAGTCGCTCTGGTTAAGAGCGTCTGCTAAATGACTAAAATGTAAATGTAAAATATCTAAAAATTCACATCAATACACACAATACACACAATCTAAAAGTAAAATAATGGAATTAAGGAATATATAAATATTAGAAATATTAGGATGAGCAATGTTGGAGTGGCATAGACTAAAATACAGTAGAATAGAATACAGTAAATACATATGAGATGAGCAAACTTAAATATTTTGTCTTGCCCATTCACCCTCTGAATGGCACACATACACAATCCATGGCTCAATTGTCTCAAGGCTTAAAAATCCTTCTTTAACCTGTCTTCTCCCCTTCATCTATACTGATTGAAGTGGCTTTAACAAGTGACATCAATAAAGGATCATAGCTTTTACCTGGATTCACCTGGTCAGTCTATGTCATGGAAAGAGCAGGTGTTCTTAATGTTTTGTAAACTCAAGTGTACTTCAGTCCAAGTCAAGCACTGTGCACAATCTATAGGTTAGGTTTGAAAGAGTGCGATTTCAACAGATTTTTTTTGTTTGTTGTCAAATTAACGAATAATTATCTTTTGTTGAATTTATATAACAACATTCCAACCGTGTTTATCAGTCCAATTGTGGGATGTTTTCACTATTTGTATCGGTTTGCGTTAGTTTTAACGGGCGACTTTTATTTTGAAGGCGAACCGCCGATTCCACTAGTGTTGCTCACGCTAATGTTGTTCACGACACACACGTAGCCTAAATTTCTCCTCCTCCTCCTCCAGTGTGTCGTGGGAGCGACTATTGCCGCGTTCAAAACAACTGGGAGCTCAGAACTGAAAGTTCTCTGACTTCCGAGTTCAGTGCGTTCAAGACAACTGGGAACTACGTAAAAAAAGAGCTCCGACTGGGAAAAATCGGTTTGTACGGTCATTCAACTCTGATTTCAATTCGGGAACTGGGGCCTCTTTCTAGAGCTCCGACTTTCCGACCTGAAAATCACTAACGTCATGATTTGACCCCGTTTTTCCCAGTTGCCTTGAAAGCATCATCAGGACACAGCTGACGCTTAAACCGACTAGCAAAAACCTAAAACTGACCCTTACCTTAACCAAACCCTTAAACCTAACCCTAACCTATACATTCTGAAATTAAATATCGGTTTGGGCGTCAGGCGTGTCCTTATAGCCTTTTCCCTGTGTCATCCATGTCATTGCGAACCATATAGCCAAGTCTGAATATAGTTTCTAGTCAATATGAATTGAATATTGATAGCGCATACAGTTTACAGACGATAAGTCAAGAACCTACAAACAAGTAAAGAAACGGACAACTAAACCCAAAGGTCTCTAGTCTAGACAGGTAGCTTAGCGGTTACGAGCGTTGTGCTAGTAACCGAAAGATCGCTGGTTCTAATCCCCGAGCCGACTAGGTGAAAAGTCTGTCGATGTGCCCTTGAGCAAGGCACTTAACCCTAATCGCTCTGGATAAGAGCGTCTGCTAAATGACTAAAATAAAAATGTAGACATCAGCGTTCCCACAATTTTCAAACGCTCCGGGTCTGGTTTTCGAGACTAGTGGTGTTGGGTGATTATGGGCCCGGTCACTTTCACCTTATTGTTATTTCCACTGCTGCAGAAAGTATCTGAAAGGATTTGGATGCAAAGATATTGTGATGTTTACAAAACTACCAGTTAATAGACCATAGTGGAATTTGCGCCATAATGTGTCCATTGTTTTCCTTTCAAATGTGTAAACAGGAGAGTAGGAACTAGCGAAGGGAATTGGGACTGTGTGTCACACTTTGTTTCCAAACAGTGACGCCTACTAGTATGACATGTAACTAATATTGTATTGATCTATTAAACATTGTTGACACATTGTTACAGTGTAACTTCAGCGGAAATGTTGCTATTTGGTAGTGCCTATTGGAATGTATCTAGTAATGTTGCGTTATTCGGATAGGTATTCACATTTCTCTAGCAAAATAAGGTCTTAATAAAGGTGAATAAATAATGGTTTTAATGACAGGCCTTAAAACTTCAATAATTGTTCATTTGGAACAAACCAAAAATAACCACACTTTTTTTCTTCCAAATTTAGAATGTATCAGCAGGGGGGCATGTTGGGTAAAGATCTCATTACAACTCCGTGAAATGTCGGCGACACACGCAGTGTCCCAGACTTGACCAGGCTAAATTATCAAACCATTTAAGCGTGAGGTGTTTTACATCGCAGATCGATATCTCATCAGAATCCACTTGGTGAGTATACATGCGTCTTTATGTTTTTGCTCAGTTTTAGTCGAAACTACGTTATGAAATTTAATTCAGACTTTGTTATAACAATATGGATGGATATCTCGTACTCAATTTGTGTACGTTTATTATGGTGTTATACACCTTTATACAGTAGATGCTAGAAGGCTTGTCATGCCAGACAGTGTCGTCTGCTGGGTATTTGTGGAAAATGTGATGACATCATATTTTTATTTTTATTTTTATTTTTTTGACATGTTTGATCATTAACATCAAACATGTCATCTGAAGTATGCAGGAATCCCTATCTGAAGTTACTGAGACTGTATATGTGCAACCTTAAATACCCCACTAGTCAAAGTGTATTTCCAAAACGCAATTTCTCCAAGAAATTTAACATTTGTGTTTTTTCATCAGAAATGATTGCTTATGGGTACCCTCGTGTGTATGTAAAACAGATTTTTCATTCATAGATTTTAGATGTGTATGAAAATGTGTTTTTTTGCACAATATAGGCCTATCCATTGTTTAGCTGGAATGGAATGTTCTTATCCTGTACATTTGAATGTAATATGTGGTTGTCTCACCTAGCTATCTTAAGATGAATGCACTTACTGTAAGTCGCTCTGTAAGAGCATCTGCTAAATGACTAAAATGTCAAATGTAAATGTTTTACATACAGATCTCATATTACTGTATACAATATATATATATATATATTTAAATATTGATGTCACAATTGTATCATCTGTACAGTTCTTTACTTGTAGTTATGTGTTACATTGGACTGTGCAAAACCTAGCAGTAGGCTACTACCTATTTCTCTGAGTGAGGCAGACATATAGCATTTTTCTCTCTGAAATGAAACCATCAAGTGATAGATTTTAAACAGATATAGTACATAGGCTATATGTCATTGAACATCATGCCATGATTAGATAGTGAGAAAACACACAAATCTCTTTCATCATTTATTTAAACAACAAAAGCTAATTTACCCACGAAACTCTTGGCATGGTCTAATGGTGCTTTCAAGACAACTGGGGGAAAAAGTTCCCAGTTGTCTTGAACGCACTGAAGTCAGAAGTCGGAGATAGTTCCCAGTTGTTTTGAACGCGGCATAATGTTTCCCTCTTACCCCCTCTGTCTTATAAGGTGCCCATATCGCATATCATAATGTTGAAGTCGGATTTCCCTCCAGCCTATGAAGATGCATTACATGGCCGCAGGCCCGGGTATGGGAACTACCCACAGCCCCCACCAGCATATGGACCATACCCTGCTCAGTCCTCAGCTCAATACCCAGGACAAGCAGGGTACCCTCTGGGCTACCCTCCATCTGGGATGCCTTATTCCATTCCTCTAGGAATGCCCACCTCCAACCCAGGTTCTGGAGCTATTTACTGTACAGTATAATATATTACATATTATGTAACAGAATATAACAAATATATACTGTTAATATCTGAAGTTTGTCAAAATAGTTTTACTTGGTCATTATTGACTTCATGTCTTAACTTCATGTATTTCTTTAATGCAGTGGAAGACGATGAATTTGCATATTCTACTGCATGGGAAAGCACTTCTATTCGACATGCATTCATCCGAAAAGTATGAGATCTTATACCTTTTACACATCAACGTCCTAATCACTCAGTCTACTTATACTTGCTGTGATCATGAAAGAATTCACCCTTTTTGTGTTGGGACAGGTGTACTTAATTTTGGCTGCTCAGCTCATCGTCACTGTATCAATTGTGGCTGTGTTTACATTTGTGTAAGTGTCAACAATGTTACATTGTATTATCTCTGTTGTACCATTTCATATCAATGTGAGCTCTTTTCCGTTTGTGTTTTCTGTTTGTGTAATGCTAACGTTTGAGCATTTCATCTATATTACAGTGATGAAGTACGTGCGTTTGTCATTAGGAACCCAGCCGTGTACTGGACATCATTGTAAGTACTTCATATTCCATTAAGGTTCCTTACTACATGTATTACTCATTCATTATTACTGAATTATATATTATAATAAAACATGAGCAATATTTTTGACCTATCATACTAATAGCTTGTTTTTCTTCCAGCGCTGTTTATTTAGTCACTTACTGCATTCTTGTCTGCTGCAAAGGGCCAAGGTAAGATTATCCATGCCCTTTTTATACTGTGTATACAACAGTACACACCGTTAAACATCAGATAATGACATTTATCTTTTGATCTTAATAATCTTTGTTTAGGAGACGCTTTCCTTGGAACTTTGTGCTGCTGGCCATTTTTGTAAGTAACGCTTGCAAAAAAAGAATCTCTATATCCTATCTTAACACATAATGGAACTAGATCTATAGTATATATACAGTGAGGGAAAAAAGTATTTGATCCCCTGCTGATTTTGTACGTTTGCCCACTGACAAAGAAATGATCTGTCTATAATTTTAATGGTAGGTTTATTTGAACAGTGAGAGACAGAATAACAACAAAAAAATCCAGATAAATGCATGTCAAAAATATTATAAATTGATTTGCATTTTAATGAGGGAAATAAGTATTTGACCCCCCTCTCAATCAGAAAGATTTCTGGCTCCCAATGTCTTTTATACAGGTAACAAACTGAGATTAGGAGCACACTCTTAAAGGGAGTGCTCCTAATCTCAGCTTGTTACCTGTATAAAAGACACATGTCCACAGAAGCAATCAATCAATCAGATTCCAAACTCTCCACCATGGCCAAGACTAAAGAGCTCTCCAAGGATGTCAGGGACAAGATTGTAGACCTACACAAGGCTGGAATGGGCTACAAGACCATCGCCAAGCAGTTTGGTGAGAAGGTGACAACAGTTGGTGCGATTATTCGCAAATGGAAGAAACACAAAAGAACTGTCAATCTCCCTTCGGCCTGGGGCTCCATGTAAGATCTCACCTCGTGGAGTTGCAATGATCATGAGAACGGTGAGGAATCAGCCCAGAACTACACGGGAGGATCTTGTCAATGATCTCAAGGCAGCTGGGACCATAGTCACCAAGAAAACAATTGGTAACACACTACGCCGTCAAGGACTGAAATCCTGCAGCGCCCGCAAGGTCCCCCTGCTCAAGAAAGCACATATACAGGCCCGTCTGAAGTTTGCCAATGAACATCTGAATGATTCAGAGGAGAACTGGGTGAAAGTGTTGTGGTCAGATGAGACCAAAATCGAGCTTTTTGGCATCAACTCAACTCGCCGTGTTTGGAGGAGGAGGAATGCTGCCTATGACCCCAAGAACACCATCCCCACCGTCAAACATGGAGGTGGAAACATTATACTTTGGTGGTGTTTTTCTGCTAAGGGGACAGGACAACTTCACCGCATCAAAGGGACGATGGACGGGGCCATGTACCGTCAAATCTTGGGTGAGAACCTCCTTCCCTCAGCCAGGGCATTGAAAATGGGTCGTGGATGGGTATTCCAGCATGACAATGACCCAAAACTCACGACCAAGGCAACAAAGGAGTGGCTCAAGAAGAAGCACATTAAGGTCCTGGAGTGGCCTAGCCAGTCTCCAGACCTTAATCCCATAGAAAATCTGTGGAGGGAGCTGAAGGTTCGAGTTGCCAAACGTCAGCCTCGAAACCTTAATGACTTGGAGAAGATCTGCAAAGAGGAGTGGGACAAAATCCCTCCTGAGATGTCTGCAAACCTGGTGGCCAACTACAAGAAACGTCTGACCTCTGTGATTGCCAACAAGGGTTTTCCCACCAAGTACTAAGTCATGTTTTGCAGAGGGGTCAAATACTTATTTCCCTCATTAAAATGCAAATCAATTTATAATATTTTTGACATGCATTTATCTGGATTTTTTTGTTGTTATTCTGTCTCTCACTGTTCAAATAAACCTACCATTAAAATTATAGACTGATCATGTCTTTGTCAGTGGGCAAACATACAAAATCAGCAGGGGATCAAATACTTTTTTTGCTCACTGTATGTTATGATTGTATTGTTTTATATTTCATATTTTAGACACTGGCCATGTCCTACATGACAGGAACAATATCAAGGTTTGTTATAGAATTTTCATATATTGTTTTCTTTTCTTTTACATAATACAACTAGAAATACTAATGTAAGGTGCAGTTTGTTTGTTTTGTGACTGTCTACTTTGTATTTCTTGCAGTTACTATGACACAAAAGCAGTGTTTCTGACCATTGGAATAACAGCAATAGTGTGCATAATTGTCACCATCTTCTGCTTTCAAACTAAGGTACATGTATAACATCCTGCCTCTTTAGAACCTACAGCCTGTAGCTTGTGAGAGTCTTTGTTGTCAGTGTCAAATGACTCCTTTGTATAGGATTACAATGGGCGACTGTCTTTTAAATATTCATGACATTTTGTGCAATTCCTCCTTATGAAACCGATTGTCAAAATAAATAGCATACATTGATTCCCTGGGCTTGTTGTGCTGTTACACATTCCATGGTTGTGTTCATTTTTGTAGACCTTTCATATCAAGTTAGTTCATTGCCCATTCATGTGCCATCCTATGAAACATTCCAACTATTGGGTCATTGTTGTACCTTAATGATTGTCGTATGACCAATGTTGTGAAGAACATGTATGTCTATGCTTATGACAGGTGGATTTTACGTCTTGTGGGGGACTTTTCAGTATTCTTGCCATCGTACTCTTGGTTACTGGGATCATCACAGCCATCGTACTATCCTTCAAATATGTAAGTGCCTCAGTTTGGTCAAAAGTTGAATTACTTCAAAAAGCTTTAATAGTAATACGCATGCATTTTGATTGATTACAAATCGGAGAAATGTAGGCCTATACATACAAAAGGTCCTGTGTTTTCTTCCACTCACAGGTCCCATGGCTTCATATGCTCTATGCTGCTATCGGAGCTGTCATTTACACCCTGGTGAGTTGGTTTTTTCTTGAACAGCCTCAGTATATCAAAGGGAATAGGAGAATGGTGACTTTCTTCATGTCTCTTGAACCAACCTGTACGTATGAAATGAACCATTTTTATTTTGTAGTTTTTAGCATACAACACCCAGCTTCTCATCGGAAACCGCAAGCTTTCCATCGGCCCAGAGGAGTATGTTTTTGGAGCACTTTCACTTTATGTTGACATTGTCCAGATCTTCATTTTCCTCCTACAACTAGTTGGGGCTTCCACAGATTAAAGGCAGGAGGATGATGCACAACCTAGTGTGGATGGATCCTACTTATATTGTAATTTTTCATCTCAAACAGTTGCTGCTCATACATAACTGTAAATTATGCTTATTTTTTAGTATTTTAATGCCATTAACATAACCCTATGAGAGTACTGCAAACTTTCAATTAAGATTGTTATATATCTATAGTATATTGACTTATTATTCCCAGAATGGATGTTGGTTATGTGATGATTTGGTAAGTTATGAATGCAATATGCATACATGATTGTCTGAATCGCATTTGATTTTACCTACATATTTGTTTAACATATATTTATTGTCCTTATGTTGCCTTTGTCCTTAAGCCGTAAGAATGTAAAACATAATTAAATAATTTATTTTCAGTCCTTTATATGTCAAAATGGCTGAATAAACTTTCCATGTATGCATCTATTGGTGGTGCTATATTTAAGCAATAAGGCCCAAGGGGGTGTGGTATATGGCCAATATACCACGGCTAAGGGCTGTTCTTCGCATGACGCAACACGGAGTGCCTGGATACAGCCCTTAGCCATGGTATGTTGGCCATATATCACAAACCCCCGAGGTGCCTTATTGCTATTATAAACGTCTTACCAACGTAATTAGAGCAGTACAAATAAATGTTTTGTCAAACATGTGGTATACAGTCTGATAGAAGTCTGTCAGCCAATCAGCATTCAGGGCTCAAACCACCCAGTTTATAATACAAATTACAGTATATTCTAACATTGCTTCCATTTTCCTCAATTGGAATTGTATATGTGATAACTGTTGAAAGGGATTAACTTTTCTTGAGATATATATTTCTGATTATCAGAACCAATAATTAAAGACAATGATACCTCAGACAGTTCTGTTAGTCATGCAGTTTTTCTGTGAGAGCAATTATTGCATGGGGACTTTCTTTTACTTAATTACAACCTAATCACCAACTGAATCAGGATGGCATAGAGGTGGGAAGTAATGAAAAAGGTATGTTCTCTTATACAGCTTATTAGTGTGTGGACTTTTCCAATTATGTGCCTACTGATAATGAGTCCTTCCATTGAGTTGATTTCATACACTACTTTCAGGTGCCAGTTCACTATGGTCCTTTTCCTGACAAAAAGCACTTTATCATGTCCACCAATTTCAAAATGTAACAAACCCTGAAATATATTTCAAACATGACAGCATTCCTCCTGAAAGGTAATCAAAATACTTCTAAATGAATGTTTCTCAAATGACAGGGCTTGTAGTGATAAAATAATCCCACATGAATAATTTGAACAAAGCAAGCTCCTTAGCACATTGCTCATAGCAAAGAACGTGTAGAATATGATAGGGGTTGTTTCCCCCATTGTTTTCAATGACTTGGTTAGTGGCTCCTCCTTGAGCGACCGAGACATCATATATCCAAGGGGCTCCAGTAACCCAATACAGATGAATCCACCCCGAAACGAAGGATTGTCTTTTTAAATAAGACGCAAAGCGAAATATGCTTTTGAAGTACTTTTTGTCCTCCAAAACATCTGCAATAATTACAAATTGTCACCAGACCACAATTATTTATTAGTCATAGCTCTGCAGTGTGATAAATACTGTTATCAAAGTGTATTAACCCCATAGAAAAGTGTTAGACATAAAACACAGGTGTGTTATCCCATTGGTGAGCCTAGGAAAGCCTGGAATCTGTTTGTACCTTTGCCTGCTCCATTATCATTGTCAAGCCAAACATGGCATAAGCAGTTGGCAAGACAGCAGAAACAGACAGGCACCCAAGCTAAGCCTAAGTTATTACATCCCTAAATCATATTCCACTTCTAATGTCTAAGAATAATTTATCCCTTATATTATGGATCTATTTCTTCCTGTGTCATTTTCTATAACTGAATACTGGTAACCATAGTAGCCTGGCTTGATTCTCTATTTTTCTCTTGTTAATCACAGTGGCACTTCAGTGTTGTGCCACTCATTTATCCTCTGTCTGGTGTATTGGAGATTCATGTAGTTTCCCATGTCCTGCATCCGTGTCCAGTGGCGATCGATGGCCGCTCAGGGGGTCAGGCGTTTGGGATCACGGGGGAACATGGAGGTCTGGCGGACGTTGTGAAGACCCAGGTAGAGCATGCAGACTCTCTCAAGTCCTGAGGGAAACAACTCACTTGTCAGCATTACAGTGCACTTACAATGAGTATATTTAGAGTACCATGACAATGTACAGTGGGGAAAAAAAGTATTTAGTCAGCCACCAATTGTGCAAGTTCTCCCACTTAAAAAGATGAGAGAGGCCTGTAATTTTCATCATAGGTACACGTCGACTATGACAGACAAATTGAGGAAAAAAAATCCAGAAAATCCCATTGTAGGATTTTTTATGAATTTATTTGCAAATTATGGTGGAAAATAAGTATTTGGTCACCTACAAACAAGCAAGATTTCTGGCTCTCACAGACCTGTAACTTCTTCTTTCAGAGGCTCCTCTGTCCTCCACTCGTTACCTGTATTAATGGCACCTGTTTGAACTTGTTATCAGTATAAAATACACCTGTCCACAACCTCAAACAGTCACACTCCAAACTTCACAATGGCCAAGACCAAAGAGCTGTCAAAGGACACCAAAAACAAAATTGTAGACCTGCACCAGGCTGGGAAGACTGAATCTGCAATAGGTAAGCAGCTTGGTTTGAAGAAATCAACTGTGGGAGCAATTATTAGGAAATGGAAGACATACAAGACCACTGATAATCTCCCTCGATCTGGGGCTCCACGCAAGATCTCACCCCGTGGGGTCAAAATGATCACAAGAACGGTGAGCAAAAATCCCAGAACCACACGGGGGGACCTAGTGAATGACCTGCAGAGAGCTGGGACCAAAGTAACAAAGCCAACCATCAGTAACACACTACGCCGCCAGGGACTCAAATCCTGCAGTGCGAGACGTGTCCCCCTGCTTAAGCCAGTACATGTCCAGGCCCGTCTGAAGTGCATTTGGATGATCCAGAAGAGGATTGGGAGAATGTCATATGGTCAGATGAAACCAAAATATAACTTTTTGGTAAAAACTCAACTCGTCATGTTTGGAGGACAAAGAATGCTGAGTTGCATCCAAAGAACACCATACCTACTGTGAATCATGGGGTTGGAAACATCATGCTTTGGGGCTGTTTTTCTGCAAAGGGACCAGGACGACTGATCAGTGTAAAGGAAAGAATGAATGGGGCCATGTATCGTGAGATTTTGAGTGAAACCCTCCTTCCATCAGCAAGGGCATTGAAGATGAAACGTGGCTGGGTCTTTCAGCATGACAATGATCCCAAACACACCGCCCGGGCAACGAAGGAGTGGCTTCGTAAGAAGCATTTCATGGTCCTGGAGTGGCCTAGCCAGTCTCCAGATCTCAACCCCATAGAAAATCTTTGTAGGGAGTTGAAAGTCTGTGTTGCCCAGCGACAGCCCCAAAACATCACTGCTCTAGAGGAGATCTGCATGGAGGAATGGGCCAAAATACCAGCAACAGTGTGTGAAAACCTTGTGAAGACTTACAGAAAACGTTTGACCTGTGTCATTGCCAACAAAGGGTATATAACAAAGTATTGAGAAACTTTTGTTATTGACCAAATACTTATTTTCCACCATCATATGCCAATAAATTCATTAAAAATCCTACAATGTGATTTTCTGGATTTTTTTTTCTCATTTTGTCTGTCATAGTTGACGTGTACCTATGATGAAAATAACAGGCCTCTCTCATCTTTTTAAGTGGGAGAACTTGCACAATTGGTGGCTGACTAAATACTTTTTTTCCCCACTGTATTTCATGCAGAGTATATTTACAATGAGTATATTTAGAATATATTTACAATGTCTTTCATGCAGAGTATATTTACAATGAGTATATTTAGAATATATTTACAATGTGTTTCATGCAGAGTATATTTACAATGAGTATAGTTAGAATATATTTACAATGTCTTTCATGCAGAGTATATTTACAATGAGTATATTTAGAATATATTTACAATGTCTTTCATATTGAGTATATTTACAATGAGTATGTTTAGAATAGACGTACAATGTCTTTCTTATTGAGTATATTTACAATGAGTACAGTGAGGGAAAAAAGTATTTGATCCCCTGCTGATTTTGTACGTTTGCCCACTGACAAAGACATGATCAGTCTATAATTTTAATGGTAGGTTTATTTGAACAGTGAGAGACAGAATAACAACAAAAAAATCCAGAAAAACGCATGTCAAAAATGTTATAAATTGATTTGCATTTTAATTAGGGAAATAAGTATTTGACCGCTCTGCAAAACATGACTTAGTACTTGGTGGCAATCACAGAGGTCAGACGTTTCAAATGTTTCTTGTAGTTGGCCACCAGGTTTGCACACATCTCAGGAGGGATTTTGTCCCACTCCTCTTTGCAGATCTTCTCCAAGTCATTAAGGTTTTGAGGCTGACGTTTGGCAACTCGAACCTTCAGCTCCCTCCACAGATTTTCTATGGGATTAAGGTCTGGAGACTGGCTAGGCCACTCCAGGACCTTAATGTGCCTCTTCTTGAGCCACTCCTTTGTTGCCTTGGCTGTGTGTTTTGGGTCATTGTCATGCTGGAATACCCATCCACGACCCATTTTCAATGCCCTGGCTGAGGGAAGGAGGTTCTCACCCAAGATTTGACGGTACATGGCCCCGTCCATCGTCCCTTTGATGCGGTGAAGTCCCCTTAGCAGAAAAACACCCCCAAAGCATAATGTTTCCACCTCCATGTTTGACGGTGGGGATGGTGTTCTTGGGGTCATAGGCAGCATTCCTCCTCCTCCAAACACGGCGAGTTGAGTTGATGCCAAAGAGCTCGATTTTGGTCTCATCTGACCACAACACTTTCACCCAGTTCTCCTCTGAATCATTCAGATGTTCATTGGCAAACTTCAGACGGGCCTGTATATGTGCTTTCTTGAGCAGGGGGACCTTGCGGGCGCTGCAGGATTTCAGTCCTTCACGGCGTAGTGTGTTACCAATTGTTTTCTTGGTGACTATGGTCCCAGCTGCCTTGAGATCATTGACAAGATCCTCCCGTGTAGTTCTGGGCTGATTCCTCACTGTTCTCATGATCATTGCAACTCCACGAGGTGAGATCTTGCATGGAGCCCCAGGCCGAGGGAGATTGGCAGTTCTTTTGTGTTTCTTCCATTTGCGAATAATCGCACCAACTGTTGTCACCTTCTCACCAAGCTGCTTGGCGATGGTCTTGTAGCCCATTCCAGCCTTGTGTAGGTCTACAATCTTGTCCCTGACATCCTTGGAGAGCTCTTTGGTCTTGGCCATGGTGGAGAGTTTGGAATCTGATTGATTGCTTCTGTGGACAGGTGTCTTTTATACAGGTAACAAGCTGAGATTAGGAGCATTCCCTTTAAGAGTGTGCTCCTAATCTCAGCTCGTTACCTGTATAAAAGACACCTGGGAGCCAGAAATCTTTCTGATTGAGAGGGGGTCAAATACTTATTTCCCTCATTAAAATGCAAATCAATTTATAACATTTCTGACATGCGTTGTTCTGGATTTTTTTGTTGTTATTCTGTCTCTCTGTTCAACTAAACCTACCATTAAAATGATAGACTGATCATGTCTTTGTCAGTGGGCAAACGTACAAAATCAGCAGGGGATCAAATACTTTTTTCCCTCACTGTATGTAGAATAGATGTACAATGTCTTTCTTATTGACAGGGTATGGGCCAAGGTTTAGAATCAGTATTTTATTTCTTACCAATGCCACCACCTCCATGTGGGGGAGCTCCGTATCGGAAGGCGTCAATGTAGGACTTGATCTTCTCCAGGTCTGCAGCAACACAAATCATTTCAAGTCATGGTAATATTTGATACTAGCATCACCACTTTACATATTAGTACCAGCCACCAGTGTATTTGTAACATAGTAATAATATGCTTATTCTCTAGCAATCGATTAAGAGAAGAAAGGAAGCTTGATTTACTGATTGATCAATATGGCCGCCCTGAATAACAAGGCAGAGTTGTTTAATTACCAATGTTGTGGTATATGGCCCTCTCAGTGAGCAGCTGGGCATCGTGGATCCTCTGAGCTCCAGAGAGGATCTCCTCTCCTCTCATGAACATGTCGTAGGAGTTGGAATATTTCTGGGGAGGAAACATCAGTCAAGTCAGTCACTGCTCTGGTATAACACTGCCAATGCCTGCCACAATGGTGTCATGAGCAACCTGGTGAAGTGTGTGGTGTGGTGTGTGTATGTTTGTGTGTAGTGACTTGCATACTTTGTCGTTGGGGTCAGGCATGGTGTAGAAGGGCCTCACTGCCAGTGGGTACTTGTCCAGCACGTAGAAGTCAGTGTCATACTAACAGAAAGGAGATAAATAAATGAGTTAGTTTGCTTTACAGTCTAAAATGCTCAGCATGTACCATATAGAATAATATAAAATCTGTTGACATCCCAAAGAAACTGAATGTAACATACCTTTTCTTTCACCAGACGACCAAGCAACTTCTCATTGGGAGTGCTATGAAAAACGTTTTAAAAAAGTATTTTCAGTAGGAAATAAAAAAAGACTTAAAAACAACGTCTTCATTTGCTCTTTACGTTCCAATTTTTACATTTTGGTCATTTAGCAGATGCTCTTATCCAGAGCGACTTACAGGAGCAATTAGGGTCAAGTGCCTTGCTTAAGGGCACAGACAGATGTTTCACCTAGTCAGCTCGGGGATTAAGCGCTACCTGCCGCCCATTTTAATGTCTTATGTTGCAAACTCTTGACCTGCTACTGACCTGAGGTCCTCCTCATCTCCCATCTCCACCCCTGCTTCCCGGAGCATGGCCACGCCCTCCCTGTACTCCAGCCTAAGAGTGGGCTCCAGGAACTTGAATTGCTCGCTGGGGTACTGCTTCCCCACCGTCTGGATCTCTGTCTGGAACCTGGCCAACACACACGCACAAAAGTGAACTCAAATACCACCTGCTCCCTTAGCACAGATGCAATGCCCTTTCAAACCAGGAGATGGCGGTGGAGGCACATATTTACTTTATATGGGGTGTCATCCACTTGCTCAGTTATAGCCCTGTAATAGGCCCTCTAAAGTTTAAACCATCCTAATTCACGTTGTTTGCAAATATGGGTAAAAAGTGAATCACATCTTACTTGTCTCCGAGCCCTTTGAAGATCTGAACCATGGTGTCAGTGATGGACTCGATCACTTCATGGTAGTGGTAGTTAAAGGTCAACTCAATATCCAGACCCACAAACTCTGTCAGATGACGGTGGGTGTTGGAGTCTTCTGCTCTGAACACTGGAATGGAGAACATCTTCAGTTAGTATCAGCGACGTAGTATTTCAGTATGAGGATTAGATCCATCAGCCCAGAGATAAACTAGAGGCCGCGTCCCAAATGGTACCCTATTCCCTTTATAGTGCACTACTTTTGACCATGGAATAGAGTGCCATTTGGGACACACACTAGACATGTTTGACTGCAGTGGGGGGGGGAACAACATCAATACTCCTCTGGTTACATGTGGATCCGGCCAGGTGATGGCCCTGTTGACCTACCTCACAAAGAGTCATTATGCAACCAAGCGCAAGCCAGTCAGATACATTATGTTTCCTATTGCTCAACATGTGCCCTATCGCAACACTGTCTATGTGTCAAATAATTGGTGTATTTGCAGTTATTCGCCCAGTTTTAATATTGCGTAAGCCACTGTTTGTTTGTTGACTACATAACTAGAGTGACTGATGTATTCAACACAATAGTCCAAATTAATTCCCATTATTGGATACAGGGAGTTAATAGGGGTTTAGGTGAACAGCTTAGAGATGTAGTATTATATATAGTTTTTATTTTTTTATGTTATACTTCATCCAGACAGTTGGAAACAAAGGGGGAGACAGACCAGAGGGAACATTTAAGAAAGGGTGGACATAGGGATTAAACCCTGGTCTCGGCTTGGGGAGTAGTGTCCCTGTGCCTGGCTAGGAGAATGACCGCTAGACCATGGGTTCTTCACTAGGTGTTGCCTTACCTGGTCCCACACAGAACACCTTGTCAAAGTCAGCACAGATACACATCTGCTTGTAGAGCTGGGGAGACTGGGCCAGGTAGGCACTGGTTTTGAAGTAGGACACAGTGAAGACGTTCGCCCCACCCTCACTGGCAGCTAGAGAGGAGAACGACAGCTTTTAGACAAACTATCCCAGGAGAGAAGCAATACATGGCCCAAAATCATCTGTCTGTAGTGAACAGCCTTTCTTCAAGTCGTCTATGTGATAACACCCTTTCATACCAGTGCCACTAACTTATTTACGCACGTGTTTGACGTTCACATCAAATAGTAGATTGTCTGTTGTGTTTTCCTTTACAGAAGGATGGTCACATAGAACATTTTGTACAGGGTACGTGTGATGGGTAATGGGTGTTGGCAGAGGAAAATGCGGTTTTTAGAGTAGTACACACTGTTGATCCGCAGCTGCTCGCACCAAAAAGGCGGCAATTTTAAATGCGTCAATGCCAGGCTGAGTTGAATGTCATTGGCTCCTACCGAAGATGAGGAAGTGAAAGCAACACTTCTTTCACCACAGCTCAGTTCAAAAACTCTATCACGTGGGGTTGTGGTAGCAAGTACTGTAGTAAACAACACTGTTGTCACACATTTCTATGGCTACAAAATATGACACATGCGCACACATTGTCTATGTGCTCACGCTTGTGAAGTGCAATTAAGAGTCAGCTTATCAATAAAGAGCACGAATGACCAGATAGTCAGAGTCGAGCCGGCACTGCTTTATATGAGCCCAGTGGTGGTACCTGATATGATTTTGGGGGTCTGGATCTCCACAAAGCCCTTGTTGGTCAGGGTGTCTCTAAAGAGCTGGCACACTCCGGACTGCAGGCGGAAGATGGCCTGGCTGGTCGTTGTCTACAAGAGGAGAAACAAGCAGAAAAACACACACACACACACACACACACACACACACACACACACACGTGTAAGTCAACATACACTACCGGTCAAAAGTTTTAGAACACCTACTCAGTCAAGGGTTTTTCTTTATTTTTACTATTTTCTATATTGTAGAATAATAGTGAAGACATCAAAACTATAAAATAACACATATGGAATCATGTAGTAACCAAAAAAGTGTTAAACAAATCAAAATATATTTTATATTTGAGATTCTTCAAATAGCCCCCCTTTGCCTTGATGACAGCTTTGCACACTCTTGGCATTCTCTCAACCAGCTTGATGAGGTAGTCACCTGGAATGCATTTCAATTAACAGGTGTGCCTTCTTAAAAGTTAATTTGTGGAATTTCTTTCCTTCTTAATGCATTTGAGCCAATCAGTTGTGTTGTGACAAGGTAGGTAAAAGACCAAGTCCATATTATGGCAAGAACAGCTCAAATAATCAAAGAGAAATGACAGTCCATCATTATTTTAAGACATGAAGGTCAGTTAATCCGGAAAATGTGAAGAACTTTGAAAGTTTCTTCAAGTGCAGTCGCAAAAACCATCAAGCGGTATGATGAAACTGGCTCTCATTAGGACCGCCACAGGAAAGGAAGACCCAGAGTTACCTCTGCTGCAGAGGATAAGTTCATTAGCATTACCAGCCTCAGAAATTGCAGCCCAAATAAGTGCTTCACAGTGTTCAAGTAACAGACACATCTCAACATCAACCGTTCAGAGGGGACTGTGTGAATCAGGCCTTCATGGTCGATTGCTGCAAAGAAACCACTACTAAAGGACACCAATAAGAAGAAGAGACTTGCTTGGGAAACACGAGCAATGGACATTAGACTGGTGGAAATCTGTCCTTTGGTCTGGAGTCCAAATTGGAGATTTTTGGTTCCAACCGCTGTCTTTGTGAGACACAGTGTAGGTGAACGGATGATCTCCGCATGTGTAGTTCCCACCGTGAAGCATGAAGGAGGTGTGATGGTGCTTTGCTGGTGACACTGTCTGTGATTTATTTAGAATTCAAGGCACTTGTAGGTAACAACACATCTGCCACACTGATCCTCAACACGGGGGCCCCTCAGGGGTGCGTGCTCAGTCCCCTCCTGTACTCTCTGTTCACCCATGACTGCATGGCCAGGCACGACTCCAACACCATCATTAAGTTTGCCGACGACACAACAGTGGTAGGCCTGATCACCGACAACGATGAGACAGCCTATAGGGAGGAGGTCAGAGATCTGGCCGTGTGGTGCCAGGACAACAACCTCTCCCTCAACGTGACCAAGACAAAGGAGATGATTGTGGACTACAGGAAAAAAAAGAGGACTGAGCACGCCCCCATTCTCATCGACGGGGCTGTAGTGGAACAGGTTGAGAGCTTCAAGTTCCTTGGTGTCCACATCACCAACGAACTATCATGGTCCAAACACACCAAGACAGTCGTGAAGAGGGCACGACAAAGCCTATTCCCCCTCAGGAGACTGAAAAGATTTGGCATGGGTCCTCAGATCCTCAAAAAATTATACAGCTGCACCATCGAGAGCATCCTGACTGGTTGCATCACCGCCTGGTATGGCAACTGCTTGGCCTCTGACCGCAAGGCACTACAGAGGGTAGTGCGTACGGCCCAGTACATCACTGGGGCAAAGCTCCCTGCCATTCAGGACCTCTATACCAGGCGGTGTCAGAGGAAGGCCCTCAAAATTGTCAAAGACTCCAGCCACCCTAGTCATAGACTGTTCTCTCTGCTACCGCACGGCAAGCGGTACCGGAGTGCCAAGTCTAGGTCCAAAAGACTTCTCAACAGCTTCTACCCCCAAGCCATAAGACTCCTGAACAGCTAATCATGGCTACCCGGACTATTTGCACTGCCCCCCCACCCCCTCCTTTTTACGCTGCTGCTACTCTGTTAAGTATTTATGCATAGTCACTTTAACTCTACCCACATGTACATATTACCTCAACTACCTCAACTAGCCGGTGCCCCCGCACATTGACTCTGCAACGGTACCCCCCTGTATATATAGCCTCCCTACTGTCACTTTATTTTACTGTATATATAGCCTCCCTACTGTCACTTTATTTTACTTCTGCTCTTTTTTTCTCAACACTTTTTTTGTTGTTGTTTTATTCTTACTTTTTTTTGTTTAAAATAAATGCACTGTTGGTTAAGGGCTGTAAGTAAGCATTTCACTGTAATGTCTGCACCTGTTGTATTCGGCGCATGTGACCAATAAAATTTGATTTGATTTGATTTACTTAACCAGCATGGCTACCACAGCATTCTGCAGCGATACGCCATCCTGGTTTGGGCTTAGTGGGACAATGACCCAACACACTTCCAGGCTGTGTAAGGGCTATTTTACCAAAAAGGAGAGTGATGGAGTGCTGCATCAGATGACCTGGCCTCCACAATCACCTGACCTCAACTCAATTGAGATGGTTTGGGATGAGTTGGACCGCAGAGTGAAGGAAAAGCAGCCAACAAGTGCTCAGCATATGTGGGAACTCCTTCAAGACTGTTGGAAAAGCATTCCAGGTGAAGCTGGTTGAGAGAATGCCAAGAGTGTGTCTCAAGAAGGCCAGTTTTATTGCTTCTTTAAATCAGCACAACAGTTTTCAGCTATGCTAACATAATTGCAAAAGGGTTTTCTAATGATCAATTAGCCTTTTAAAATGATAAACTTGGATTAGTATGAAAAAAATGTATGCACTCACTAACTAAGTCGCTCTGGATAAGAGCGTCTGCTAAATGACTAAACATTTTTTTTTTAAAGATTAGCAAACACAACATGCCATTGGAACACAGGACTGATGGTTGCTGATAATGGGCCTCTGTACGTTTTTTTTTTTTTATCAGCCGTTTCCAGCTACAATAGCCATTTACAACTACACTATATTTCTGAACAATTTGATGTTATTTTAAAATGGACAAAATAATTGCTTTTCTTTCGAAAACAAGGACATTTCTAAGTGACCCCAAACTTTTGAACGGTAGTAAATACAGTTGTGGTCAAAAGTTTTGAGAATGACACAAATATTAATCTTCACAAAGTCTGCTGCCTATAGGCAATTTGCATATACTCCAGAATGTTATGAAGAGTGATCAGATTTACATTTACATTTGAGTCATTTAGCAGACGCTCTTATCCAGAGCAACTTACAGTTAGTGACTGCGTAAATTTTTTTTTTTTTTTCATACTGGCCTTGAACCCACAACCCTGGCGTTGCAAGCGCCATGCTCTACCAACTGAGGTACACGGGATCAGATGAATTGCAATTAATTGCAAAGTCCCTCTTTGCCATGAAAATGAACTTCATCCCCAAAAAAACATTTCCACTGCATTTCAGCCCTGCCACAAAAGGACCAGCTGACATCATGTCAGTGAGTCTCTCGTTAACACAGGTGAGTGTTGACGAGGACAAGGCTGGAGATCACTCTGTCATGCTGATTCAGTTAGAATAACAGATTGGAAGCTTTAAAAGGAGGGTGGTGCTTGAAATCATTGTTCTTCCTCTGTTAACCATGGTTACCTGCAAGGAAACACGTGCCATCATCATTGCTTTGCACAAAAAGGGCTTCACAGGCAAGGATATTGCTGCTAGTAAGATTGCACCTAAATCAACAATTTATCGGATCAACAAGAACTTCAAGGAGAGAGGTTCAATTGTTGTGAAGGCGGCTTCAGGGCGCCCAAGAAAGTCCAGCAAGCGCCAGGACCGTTTCCTAAAGTTGATTCAGCTGCGGGATCGGGGCACCACCAGTGCAGAGCTTGCTCAGGAATGGCAGCAGGCAGGTGTGAGTGCATCTGCACGCACAGTGAGGCGAAGACTTTTGGAGGATGGCCTGATGTCAAGAAGGGCAGTGAGGAAGCCACTTCTCTCCAGGAAAAACATCAGGGACAGACTGATATTCTGCAAAAGGTACAGGGATTGGGGTAAAGTCATTTTCTCTGATGAATCCACTTTCCGATTGTTTGGGGCATCCGGAAAAAAGCTTGTCCGGAGAAGACAAGGTGAGCGCTACCATCAGTCCTGTGTCATGCCAACAGTAAAGCATCCTGAGACCATTCATGTGTGGGGTTGCTTCTCAGCCAAGGGAGTGGGCTCACTCACAATTTTGCCTAAGAACACAGCCATGAATAAAGAATGGTACCAACACATCCTCCGAAAGCAACTTCTCCCAACCATCCAAGAACAGTTTGGTGACGAACAATGCCTTTTCAAGCATGATGGAGCACCTTGCCATAAGGCAAAAGTGATAACTAAGTGTCTCGGGGAACAAAACATCGACATTTTGGGCCCATGGCCAGGGAACTCCCCAGACCTTAATCCCATTGAGAACTTGTGGTCAATCCTCAAGAGGCGGGTGGACAAACAAAACCCCACAAATTCTGACAAACTCCAAGCATTGATTATGCAAGAATGGGCTGCCATCAGTCAGGATGTGGCCCAGAAGTTAATTGACAGCATGCCAGGGCGGATTGCAGAGGTCTTGAAAAATAAGGGTCAACACAGCAAATATTGACTCTTTGCATAAACTTAATGTAAATTGTCAATAAAAGCCTTTTACACTTATGGAATGCTTGTAATTATACTTCAGTATACCATAGTAACATCTGACAAAAATATCTAAAAACACTGAAGCAGCAAACTTTGTGAAGACCAATACTTGAGTCATTCTCAAAACGTTTGACCACGACTGTATATATGTATAAATAAAGAAAAACGTCAGGAGTTGAGCAGTTTGATGTTCGCACAAAACTAGAAGCTCCTCCACAAACACACACCTTTAATATTTGAAAAGGTTGCAAATCAATGGAACACTGATTTTCAACTTTGAAGTTTAAGAGTGGGATGCAGTCATGGCAGTTTCTATGATATGAAGACTGACGTATTTTAACATTAGCATATAAAGGTTCCTCTGAACAAAATGTGTGGAGTAGATAACAACCCAGTCAACAAAACGACCCACACACAGATTTGAGTCAGATATTACACAATGCCAAAAAAGAGTCAAAAACAGACAACAACACTGCTTGCGTCACATCTTGCCCTGTACAGTCTCGACACCTTTATTTTCAGAAAAGGGAGTGGAGACAGGGTGCATTTCACAATAATCTAAGCGTTTAGAAAATAAACCTGAGATATAGAGCTCTTTGTCATCTTTTCAAAACCTAACATTGGCAATTCATTCTGGTTGTATACAGAGGTCAACTTAGTGGCGTAGAAAATAACCCAGTCATCAAAATGACTTGTGATGAGGCACATCAATAAACTGGGTATTACACATAATGTCTGGGAACGAGCAGAGGAACAGCCAAAGTCCCCTACCCTAACAGCCAATAGGTGTGTTCTTCTCACTTAGTTCTCAGTTGATCAGATTACTCATTTCTTAATATGACTGGTGTTATTACTAAGGATTTTTTCAACCAGTTCTATCTGGTTTCATCTCTGGTTTTAGTAATCTACACAAAGAGTTTAATACAAAAAGCTCTGAGCCTCCTGATTGAACACTGAAAGCTGAAGGCTCACATTTCTATCTTCTAGACTTTCTCAAAGCCCTGAATGGGAGTTTTCGGACTCTCTCATTGTCAGAGAATGAATCTGCAGACAATGACTCTGGTCCAGAAGACCCTGGTAGAAATGGTCAACTGATATGTAGCCTATAGTTGACTGTGGTTGGAAAATAACTCCTGCTCTGATGAATAACTGCCACTTCTGGATAACACTAGATAAAATTGCTAAGCAAATACCTAGTGAGCTAACCAAACTGCCATGAAAGCCTGATTAGAAACAGACATATAAAAATGTGTAACATAACTCCTGTGCAAAACACTTCTCTCTACTGGGAGGGGGGGGGGGGGGGGGTAATAAAACAGAGCGAGAGCGGAATAACTCTTAGTGCGTCACTCTCGTTGACATGCAAGCTCCCAAAACAATAGCGTGTAACGGCCCATGGCTTGTGGTTTTGGTCACACGCCACCACCACCACTCATATTGTGCCTAACGGATAGTACTGTATTTCCCTAGAGAGCATCAATCATTTATTTTCAACAAAATGGCTAGCCTGTACACTGTGAAAAAGCGAAGTTATTTGTGAAAAAATCCTTTCATTTTCACTAAAACAGTGCTCGGTTGTTAGGAACCTTTTCATTATGGTTGCCCTTTATTGTTGACTGGGGTTAAGGATAGGGGTCTGTCTGTGTGAAACCCTGTTTATGGGTTTACTCTTCATTTAAGTGTGGTTGTGATAACAGGCCCAAGTCCTCAAGCTCAAAGAGACATTGTGTAGAAACAGGTGTTGTGACAAAGCCAGGGTGAGGCGAGCACTAGGGCTGTTTTCCTGCTACTGCTGCCACATCACTAGTGTGGGTGCGCTTCAGAACAGAGCAGAACAATGAGGCCTCTAGCAGAGTCTGGTTTAGGACCACCTCTCCGTTAACCTCTGAACTCCTGCAGTTCTATACTCCACTCTACCAGCAGGCTAACTCACGGGACTGCAAAAAGGGATAGATACGATTCTGTCAAAATGGCAGGACTGCCCATCTTATCATTTTTCATCATCACAATATTTTTTGATACAAATGTAGCGTCTTCAAACCCAATTTGAATCTAGAATAACTCATTTCTTTTTGGTGGAATTTAACACTGGTTGAAGTGTGATAGTGTAGTAGAACTTACCCTGAGATCAATGACTCGGTTGTCCAGTCTGGTGTCCTGGTTGACCGTCGCTCTTCCATCCTGAGTAAACGCATAACCATAACACAAACATCATTTGACCACATTACAAAACATTTAAGTATTAAACACATCTGAAGTACATCGGAACAAGCTATTGGACAAGTGTGAAAACACAGTACGACATTGAAATATGATGTGTAACATGATCTATATGTGTTCTAATGTTTGTTTATTTCCTCCCCTGGAAATGAACCACTATCCCGTTCTATTCTTAAATCTTATAAACCTGTTTTTTATTAAACTAATACAACTAATTTACAAACAGTAAAAGAGCACCAAAGCTCCTAAATGTTACATCACAGTATGCCAAAGGTTGTCAGGCTTCCATGGCGCTCCCATGGGGTTAAAACAGGCTGTGAGAAAGCTCCACACATCCTGCTCATATTGAGTCAGAACATGAAAGAGAGACCAGTCAGTTATAGCCTCCTCCCCAACGGTAGGTGCTGTAACTGACAGAAAGACTCCCCACAGGCAACACCCTAGACACAACTGCCGCTGGGGCTGGCTTACTGCATAAACACAGACACACTTCAGCTGTCTCTGAACCACACTGGAGAGATCACCCTTAACACAGACACTGACTGACAACGTGACAGTATAGAACCAATACTATTCAAAAACAACAGTGGCAGGCCTTGAGTGTGGGAACGCAGTCATGTATTTTTCACCCAGCATCAGGACGGAGGAAGTTCTCTGGATGAAATGAGTTTGACCTTTGATCAGCAACAGAAAGCTGCCTGTGCGAGGCCCAGGAGCCAAGGCCCTCATCCTCACCTCATCCCCCTCTCCTTCCGGTCTCACGCAATCCTCCAGCTGCAGGGGCAGACGAGGCTCGGCCTGGCTGATCACAAAAATCTAAAACAGTAAAAGAAGGTGAGATTTGTTTTTAGAAGGGAGACGTTGGTTGAAATAGATTCACAGTTAGAAAGTACCTCTAAACTCAAAGTACTTTCCAGGTTCAACTGCTAGGCAGAATGGAAAGTACCACAATTCCAAAAAGAGAAAGCACTCAAAGGAAGTCGTAGACTGATATCTTTGAACCAGTAGTTCCTCTGATTCACGGCTGTCCTTCCTGTCTGTCTGTCTGTGGTGTGGTCAAACAGAGCAGAAGACTGACCTACCCTCTCAATGTGCAGCTCCACATCCTGCTGAGAGCAGCTCTCAATCTTCTGCTCCACCTTCCTCACCACCGCCTCCACATCAACGATGCTCTCCTTGTTGATGCTGCAGATGGGGGGGGGGTAAAGAGGCACAGCGCTTAGCAGTCTACACAGATCAATTGAAGTCAAACGAATGGGAGGCTATCTGAGAACTGAACGTCTCCATTCCAAACCCTGATTCACACAGTCACAGAAGCTTTTCATGATCTGATAAAATTGGTGGGGGGTTTGTTGTGCAGTTGGTAACCACGATATAAAGAAACAAAATACAAATATTATAACACTCTAGGCTACATAAATTCACCTGATGCTACTCTTCCATAGGCAAAATGTCACAGGATGATGTTGTTTTGAGCCACGGTTACCATTGTGTCAGACATTCCTATTTTCTTTTGATTTAATCAGCCGATTGTGACAACGTGTAAAAACCAAACATCACAGATATGAACTACAGTAAAACACCAGTGGCCACACAACAATAAGACAGAGGTTAAACAATCCTCTTAAAGACATGTTGAGTGACTACCAGCGCAGGCCACTGCTCTCCTATCCCACTGTCCTAGCCCCCAGGAGAGCCTCATAGAAATATGAAGAACTGTCAAAACCAACACATAGCATGGGGCCAGATGGAGCAAGCCCAGTGTAATCCTTCCCCTCTTCTCATTAAAAAGCAGTAATGAGAGACAAGAGAGTTGTGAATGGTGAACCCAGTCAGTCCACTGCAGCTGCCTCAGTCAGACATTTCACACTATGGGGGATCAGCTAGACAAATAACGCCCACATTAATAACCTCCTCCCTCCAACACCTGGCCAGCCTGCCCGGGGACAATGAACACTGCCCATCAACTAATATGAGTAAGTCATACAAGTAAGACTTTTGATTACCTAGACTAGCGTCATGTCCATGGGGTGTGTTTCAAAGCACTTCATGGCTACCGACGTGAGTGCTACAGGGCGGTAATCATTTAGGCAGGTTACCTTCACTTTCTTGGGCACAGGGACTATGGTGGTCTGCTTGAAACATGTAGGTATTACAGACTCGGTCAGGGAGAGGTTGAAAATGTCAGTGAAGTTACTTGCCAGTTGGTCCGTGCATACTTTGAGTACACGTCCTGGTAATCCGTCTGGCCCCGCGGCTTTGTGAATGTTGACCTGTTTAAAGGTCTTGCTCACATCGGCTACGGAGAGCGTGATCACATAGTCGTCCGGAACAGCTGGTGCTCTCACGCATGCTTCAGTGTTGCTTGCCTCGAAGTGAGCATAAAAGGCATTTAGCTCGTCTGCAAAGGCTGGTCATGGCTCACATCAACACCATCATCCCGGAAACCCTAGACCCACTCCAATTCGCATACCGCCCCAACAGATCCACAGAAGACATAATCTCAATCGCACTCCACACTGCCCTTTCCCACCTGGACAAAAGGAACACCTATGTGAGAATGCTGTTCATTGACTACAGCTCAGCGTTCAACACCATAATGCCCTCAAAGCTCATCACTAAGGTAAGGACCCTGGGACTAAACACCTCCCTCTGCAACTGGATCCTGGACTTCCTGACGGGCCACCCCCAGGTGGTAAGGGTAGGCAACAACACATCTGCCACGCTGATCTTCAACACTGGGGCCCCTCAGGGGTGCGTGCTTAGTCCCATCCTGTACTCCCTGTTCACTCACGACTGCGTGGCCAAGCAAGACTCCAACACCATCATTAAGTTTGCTGACGACACAACAGTGGTAGGACTGATCACCAACAACGATGAGACAGCCTATAGGGAGGATGTCAGAGACCTGGCAGGGTGGTGCCAGGACAAGAACCTTTCCCTCAATGTGAGCATGACAAAGGAGCTGATCGTGGATTACAGGAAAAGGAGGTCCGAACAGGCCCCGATTAACTTTGACGGGCTGTAGTGGAGCGGGTCCACATTACCAACGAACTATCATGGTCCAAACACACCAAGACAGTCGTGAAGAGGGTACGACAACACCTTTTCCCCCTCAAGAGACTGAAAAGATTTGGCATGGGTCCCCAGATCTTCAAAGAGTTCTACAGCTGCACCATCAAGAGCATCCTGACCTGTTGCATCACCACCTGGTATGGCAACTGCTCGGCATATGACCGTAAGGCGCTACAGAAGGTAGTGCGTACGGCCCAGTACATCACTGGGGCCAAGCTTCCTGCCATCCTGAACCTACACTACCAGTCAAAAGTCTGGACACACCTACTCATTCAAGGGTTTTTCTTTATTGTTACTATTTTCTACATTGTAGAATAATAGTGAAGACATCAAAACTATGAAATAACAGATATGGAATCATGTAGTAACCAAAAAAGTGTTTTATATTTGAGATTCTTCAAATAGCCACCTTTTGCCTTGATGACAGCTTTGCACAATCTTGGCATTGCGTCGCAATCGCTAAACGTAAACTACTGGAGACACTGTCATTTTTGGAGACATGTTTTTGACACGGAAGCACTACTGTAGCTAGCAATAAAGTGTAGGAGTGATTGCTAACTAACTGTAGTCAACTTTAACAGTGGGGCGGAACAATTAACTTATTTACCGTTAATTAGTCACCACCAAAACGTCTCCAGTAATGTTAACTTTTTGATGTTTGTGACGTTTCCACTTTCCAAGCATATTGGACTGACTTACTGATCATAAAATAAGTGGTGTTGGGCCTGTACAGTCCTTCCATTTACATTTGAGTCATTTAGCAGACGCTCTTATCCAGAGCGACTTACAGTTAGTAGTCCTTCCGTTTACACTTCGTTCATCTTTTTCATTGAAGTGTTTAAGAGTAATTAATTAAGTGTAATCATGTAAACTTAAAGAGATTAGAACATATTTGACATACTTGGCTTGGAAAAGTACAGTATCCTCTTGTTGTTATGCTTTTCCAGTAGCAGACTAAGTTGAGTCTGACCCATAGGTGAAAGTAAACCGGTAGGGTCCGGTACAGGAGTCCCGGGAAAATAATTAGTAGGGGTATGCCGTACCGGTTGAACGTGAGCCTATCACAATAATTAAAACAAAAATGCCAAGAAAACTGTAGGCCCTTACACTATTATTTATCATTACCGCAAGTCACCCGCCTGAAACATTTATGAAGGGACTTGAAATAATGTGGAATACGCTCAGAATGCGGTGTGGTTCGACGATAACAGTGACATTTTGCAAAGGCAGAGATGAGTGGCTGAGACAGACGCGCCGACAGTGGACGCATCAATTCAGGTTACAGGTGTAGGAAATCACTGAATGTCATTCATTAAACTTATGGGTGTTTTGTTAGTTTGAAGTGATTGTTTGGTAATCAGATGAAAACAGCATGAGTGGTTACGTTAATGCCACATTAAAAGTGAATACATTTTAAATGGTAAACAATAAACTGGTAAACAATAAACTTTCAGACCCATAGAGATCATAAACTTTCAGACCCCCCCCCCCCCCAAAAGAAATTCCAAATTGGAGGACCCAAGAGTGATTAATGATGCTCAGGCTCTTCCCATCTGATCTACTGTATTTACTCTTATCTGGGCAGGAATGGCTCCATTAAACACTGCTGTATCCCACTTTTGTCATGAGGTGAAAAATTATTGATTCCTTCAGAATGTGTGAAAATGGATTGGGCCCATTAGGAGCCAGCTTTTCCCACCATTGTTTGTCGGGGGCCTACAGGAAATGCAGTCTTGTACTCACTTGGCAGCAAACTTCACCATCTGCTTGCTGGCACGCTCCCCCACGGCAACCAGGGCCTGCACGTTAAACTGCTGCTGACGCAGGACCAAGAAGCACTGCTTCCCTAAAACGATGACAACCATACAATAGGCATCAGCAGGGGCCCTCTCATTTGGGCTACAACACCTATTGCACTTGTCAAAACAGGTGCCATGGTGGTTCTATAAAATGCCATGTCTCTATCTCAGGCCAACAGGGCAGAGGTCATACCTGCTTCAGATCCCCACCTCTCACCCATTGAAACGCTTTTCACAGCATTTCCAGGTAACTGTCAGAACCGTGAACGGACGACCCTTTGAAGAAAGGTGTATGGAGGGAGGCTGAGAGCTAATTCCCAACCAAACACCTTGAGAGACTGTGTAAACCAGGTTTGTCAACCATCATGCCAACATCAGACACCACCCAAGTGCTTTGATGTGGCTTCCTCTGTTCATTGACTGGGGGGGGTGAGAGGAGTGCTGCAATCGCAAAAAAAACAGTCACTTCATCCCAGTGTAAACCAGGATGTTATTCTGCTCTTAAGGACATCCTTCACTGTGGAGCTGAATGAAGGAACGGAGGGGGAGGAAAATGGCTTTTGACACGGAAGTTGTCCTGGAAGGAAGCCGTCGCAATATCAACATAATCAGATGGTTTATTTATTAGCATATTGTTAGCACAGATGTGTACGTGCTCGACGTTTCTAATAGTTTTGGATGGGATCCGACAGTTATACAAGATTCAATGAGTTCATTGTATTATAGCCTCAAGTTCTGACAAGTTTGGAAAATAACAATTTAATCCATGTTTGAGGTGCCATTTAAGTAACTGAGCTTCGGTCTGAGTTTTCAAACTTTTCAAATAGGAACTTGCATGTGCCTGTGCAATGAATCTATAATAGAAAAAACATAGCGCTCTGCGACCCCCATCCCCTATGTCCCACATCACCCGCAAATAAGGTAAAAAACTAAAGTCTGGTTTCATACTGTGATTTTCCAAGATTGTGCACAACTCTTTTAGCTTTTTGACCTTCCATATCTGACAACCTGAGGAGAGTTGACTGATAAAAATGAAGCTCTTCTCTGAATAGTGACTATTTGGCCCAAGGACAGTTGGTAATCTTTTTGGAAACCCAAAGGTTCAGTTACGGCGCCGTTCAGATTAGAAGCCTGGCTGTGTCCTGAGGACTAAAGGGAAAAGATGAATGATATGGAGCTGGACAAAGATGGAGACTCTCACCTTTAGCTCTGCTGGTGTGAATCCTGGCGCGCACCCAGATCAGCCGGCCAGCCTTCTCAGGTGTCAGCTCCTGGACACGCACCAACCCTCTGTCTGGCTCACAGGGGAAGAAAAGTGTGCCTTTCAATAAAACTTCAAAAGACCATATACCTCCCTCCCCCTCTACCCACACACACATTCACACAAAGAAGCTCATGGGGCGTCCACCAATTCGGTGCCTTTTGAGAAGCGTAACTTGGTAAGAAAACAAAAATGTTTGATTTCACCTCATTTTAACATTCTGTCTTAAAGAGCACATATTCAACTTCATAAAAACAAATTTTCCCATCTCAAGAGGTAAATAAAATAAATAAATATATATATATATATATATAGTAGGCCTAAGTGCCAAATAAAGTAACAGCCATAAATCCCTCGACAGGGGGAATGGAAACTTGTTGTATGCTACAAGGAGCGGCAATTGAATGTAAGCTTCACCTAAAAAATGTCATGCTAAAACTTTGTTATGCTCGACCCATTCCGTTTTCCACCACAAAACTGCAAAAAAGAGTAGAACCATTTCACCTGCTTTTACACTATGATTTGAATATTAGATGTTCAATGGTCCTTTTGAAATACATATTTAAAAAGGAATAGTTTCACCATTATAAACGCGAGTTCAGTTCACGTAACAGGGTGACCTTAAAATGAGGGACAGACGTAAATGAATCACTAATCACATTAAATAAAATAATAATCTTTAGAAATGAGTGTCAAAGCAACTAAAAAACTAGGGCTTTACAATGATGGTGAAATTTGAAGACATTTTGGGATTAAGTGGGTTGAAATCCTCCTCGAAGTGACACAGGGTTGAAAATGCAACATTTTGGCACTTTAGCAAGCCTTTATTCATTTAAAACATGGATTGATTAAATTATCCATTTGGTCTATATTAAAAGGGCACTTCATTTAATATAAAAGGCTTTTAAAATTCAATGTTGGTGTGCAATTTCTCCTTAAAATATCTAAGGGACGCAAAGGGCACTCTATTCGTGGAACGACCCTCATATTACAAGGAGAACAGAAGTCATAAATATGAAACACTACGGGGCCCTGCGTAGAAGTCGCCCCATTCTCTGTCTTCTGACAAATGGACTATATTTTGCCCTGTGTCACTGAGGCATGCTTAACGTTATTATGATCGGCTAGTGGAGACAGAGAGCGGCCTCATGCGCCCCGACAGCAGTGAGCCGCCCATTTGGCTGAACCTGATTCCACCCACATGAAAGGCAGGCTGTCTCTCTCCTGCTTTCCTCATCCCAGTGGACAGGCATGCAGGTGAGACGGCAACTTTGTTCTCTGCCATTGGAGCTGAACGAGCAGGCAGACGACCCATCTGTCTCGGTCACGTTTATCTGGGAGTTATGGCACGCCACAATCATCTTTGATATCTACGCCGTCTCTACTACTGCCACCATGTCAAAGAGTCACTCAGATATAATCACGTTATCTATATTCCTTAACATTAGTGGCTGCTGAAATGGAACATGTTGTTGGAACAAAGAAGAGAGGAGGTAGTTGTTGACTGTACTACTGACCCAGTTTCTGCTGGGACTGTACCATCGGGGGGACACCGTACCGATCCTTGGCAAAATCCTGATGAATAAGAGAAGCATTAATCTGCTAAGCATTCAAATACAGTAGCTTTATAGGAAACATCACTAGAGGTGCATTCATTTCCATTTTCCTTTGGTATTGCACCATATAGAAAAAGGTGTAAATAAATACTTAATATCTGAAGCTAACTGAATTTGAATTGATCCTCCTGGATACTTACATCGTCATCTGTGCTATGTTGGTCAGCAGCCTGAAAAGAAGAGGCAAATCAATACAGTGGGACATAGGCCTAACATTGCATTTAAATCATGGTAAACTGCCTTGTATTAGGAACAGCAAGTGGACTGATATTATCTGTGCAACGACTTCTTGGTTACCTTTTTATGCAAAATCTCCAAACTATGAGCATTAGTATTAACAGTTAGGCTACCATTTAATTTCCCATGCAAATTGATATGTCTACGGTATTGGCTGGTGGAATAGAGGGAGAGTGAATGGCATGGCCATGGAACTGGATGGATGCTTTTACAGTTTCTAAGATCCAAGGGAAAGCATATTCCATCTGAAATATAGGCTACTTTAAGTGTTTCCCCTAGGATATTTTTCAGCAGCGGTGGTTGACACCATCTGAAATAACTGATGCGCGCCACTGCACTGTAGGGAGATGAGGAGCAAGCGGTGGCTTTGCAACCAATATAAGTTGTAAATTGTCACTATGATCTTAAAGGGTAGGTAGCATAAACATAACATATGGATTTGCATTAGTATACGGATCAAAAGTCACAATGCAAAGTTACACCTCACTTTTACATTTTTCAAGTAATTACATAAAACCGATCCTAATTCATAAGAAAAGCCGAAGTCATGTCGGAAAATGCTGTTCCTTCAAATTAAACCAAATCGTTTGCACTCATGACTACTCGATTCAATTTTATTTTCAGCCAAATTACATGAAAACATACATTAAATTAGTTTGAATAGGAAATATAGCGAAATGGTTAGAAATAATGATTTTTTATTGAAATAATAATTGTGTCCTTCAAACTTTGCTTTCAACAAAGAATCCTCCATTTGCAGCAATTACAGCCTTGCAGGCCTTTGGCATTCTAGTTGTCAATCTGTTGAGGTAATCTGAAGAGACTTCACCCCATGCTTCCTGAAGCACCTCCCACAAGTTGGATTGGCTTGATGGGCACTTCTTACGTACCATACGGTCAAGCTGCTCCCACAACAGCTCAATAGGGTTGAGATCCGGTGACTGTGCTGGCCACTCCATTATAGACAGAATACCAGCTGACTGCTTCTTCCATAAATAGTTATTGCATAGTTTGGAGCTGTGCTTTGGGTCATTGTCCTGTTGTAGGAGGAAATTGGCTCCAATCAAGCGCCGTCCACAAGGTATGGCATGGCGTTGCAAAATGGAGCGATAGCCTTCCTTCTTCAAGATCCCTTTTACCCTGTACAAATATCCCACTTTACCACCACCAAAGCACCCCCAGACCATCACATTGCCTCCACCATGCTTGACAGATGGCATCAAGCATGCGTCCAGCATCTTTTCATTTGGTCTGCGTCTCACAGATGTTCTTCTTTGTGATCCGAACACCTCAAACTTCGATTCGTCTGTTCATAACACTTTTTTCCAATCTTCCTCTGTCCAGTGTCTGTGTTCTTTTACCAATCTTTTATTTTTATTGGCCAGTCTGAGATATGGCTTTTTCTTTGCAACTCTGCCTAGAAGATCAGCATCCCAGTCGCCCCTTCACTGTTGAAGTTGAGACTGGTGTTTTGCGGGTACTATTTAACGAAGCTGCCAGTTGAGGACCTGTGAGGTGTCTGTTTCTCAAACTAGACACTCTAATGTATGCTCAGTTATGCACCGGGGCCTTCCACTCATCTTTCTATTCTGGTTAGAGCCAGTTTGCACTGTTCTGTAAAGGGAGTAGTACACAGCGTTGTACGAGATCTTCAGTTTCTTGGCAATTTCTCGCATGGAATAGCCTTCATTTCTCAGATCAAGAATAGACTGACGAGTTTCAGAAGAAAGTTATTTGTTTCTGGCCATTTTGAGCCTGTAATCGAACCCACAATTGCCGATGCTCCAGATACTCATCTAGTCTCAAGAAGGCCAGTTTTATTGCTCCTTTAATCAGCACAACAGTTTTCAGCTGTGCTAACATAATTGCAAAAGGGTTTTCTAATGATCAATTAGCCTTTTAAAATGATGAACTTGGATTAGCAAACAACGTGCCATTGGAACACAGGACTGATTGTTGCTGATAATGGGCCTCTGTACGCCTATGTAGATATTCCATTAAAAATCAGCAGTTTCCAGCTAAAATAGCATTTACAACATTAACAACGTCTACACTGTATTTCTGATCAATTTGATGTTATTTTAATGGACAAAAAAAATGGCTTTTCTTTCTAAAACAAGGAAATTTCGAAGTGACCCCAGAATTCTGAACGGTAGTGTATATATATATACAGTTGAAGTCGGAAGTTTACATACACTTAGGTTAGAGTCATTAAAACTTGTTTTTCAACCACTCCACACATTTCTTGTTAAGAAACTATAGTTTTGGCAAGTCGGTTAGGACATCTACTTTGTGCACGACACAAGTAATCATTCCAACAATTGTTTACAGACAGATTATTTCACTTATAATTCACTGTATCACAATTCCAGTGGGTCAGAGGTTTACACACACTAAGTTGACTGTGCCTTTAAACAGCTTGGAAAATTCCAGAAAGTGATGTCATGGCTTTAGAAGCTTCTGATAGGCTAATTGACATAATTTGAGTCAATTGGAGGTGTACCTGTGGATGTATTTCAAGGCCTACCTTCAAACTCAGTGCCTCTTTGCTTGACATCATGGGAAAATCAAAAGAAATCAGCCAAGACCTCAGAAAAAAAATGTGTAGACCTCCACAAGTCTGGTTCATCCATGGGAGCAATTTCCAAACGCCTGAAGGTACCACGTTCATCTGTACAAACAATAGTACGCAAGTATAAACACCATGGGACCATGCAGCCGTCATACCGCTCAGGAAAGAGACGCGTTCTGTCTCCTAGACATGAACGTACTTTGGAGCAAAAAGTGCAAATCAATCCCAGAACAACAGCAAATTACATTGTGAAGATGCTGGAGGAAACAGGTACAAAAGTAACTATATCCACGTAAGAACGAGTCCTATATCGACATAACCTGAAAGGCTGCTCAGCAAGGAAGAAGCCACTGCTCCAAAACCGCCATAAAAAAAGCCAGACTACGGTTTGCAACTGCACACGGGGACAAAGATCGTACTTTTTGGAGAAATGTCCTCTGGTCTGATGAAACAAAAATAGAACTGTTTGGCCATAATGACCATCTTTATGTTTGGAGGAAAAAGGGGGAACCTTGCAAGCCGAAGAACACCATCCCAACCGTGAAGCACGGGGGTGGCAGCATCATGCTGTGGGGGTGCTTTGCTGCAGGAGGGACTGGTGCACTTCACAAAATAGATGGCATCATGAGGAAGGAAAATGATGTGGATATCTTGAAGCAACATCTCAAGACATCAGTCAGGAAGATAAAGCTTGGTCGCAAATGGGTCATCCAAATGGACAATGACCCCAAGCATACTTCCAAAGTTGTGGCAAAATGGCTTAAGGACAACAAAGTCATGGTATTGGAGTGGCCATCACAAAGCCCTGACCTCAATCCTATAGAAAATGTGTGGGCAGAACTGAAAAAGCGTGTGCGAGCAAGGAGGCCTACAAACCTGACTCAGTTACACCAGCTCTGTCAGGAGGAATGGGCCAAAATTCACCCAACTTATTGTGGGAAGCTTGTGGAAGGCTACCCGAAACGTTTGACCCAAGTTAAACAATTTAAAGGCAATGCTACCAAATACTAATTGGGTGTATGTAAACGTCTGACCCACTTGGAATGTGATGAAAGAAATAAAAGCTTAAATAAATAATTCTCTCTACCATTATTCAGAAATGTCACATCCTTAAAATAAAGTGGTGATCCTAACTGACCTAAGACGGGGCATTTTTCTAGGATTAAATTACAGGAATTCTGAAAAACTGAGTTTAAATGTATTTGGCTAAGGTGTATGTAAACTTCCGACTTCAACTGTATATATATAGTACCAGTCAAAAGTTTGGACACACCTACTCATTCAAGGGTTTTTCTATAATTTTTTACTATTTTCTACATTGTAGAATAATAATGAAGACATCAAAACTTTGAAATAACACATATGGAATCATGTAGTAACCAAAAAAAGAGTTAAACAAATCAAAATATATTTTATATTTGAGATTCTTCAAATAGCCAACTTTTGCCTTGATGACAGCTTTGCACACTCTTGGCATTCTCTCAGCCAGCTTTACCTGGAATTATTTTCCAACAGTCTTGAAGGACTTCCCACATATGCTGAGCACTTGTTGGCTGCTTTTCCTTCACTCTGCGGTCCAACTCATCTCAAACCATCTCAATTGAGTTGAGGTCAGGTGATTGTGGAGACCAGGTCATCTGATGCAGCACTCCATCACTCTCCTTGGTAAAATAGCCCTTACACAGCCTGGAGGTGTGTTGGGTCATTGTCCTGTTGAAAAACAAATGATAGTCCCACTAAGGCCAAACCAGATGGGATGGCGTATCGCTGCAGAATGCTGTGCTAGCCATGCTGGTTTAGTGTGCCTTGAATTCTAAATAAATCACTGAGTGTCACCAGCAAAGCACCCCCACACCATCACACCTCCTCCTCCATGCTTCACGGTGGGAGCCACACATGCGGAGATCATCCGTTCACCTACTCTGCGTCTCACAAAGACACCGCGGTTGGAACCAAAAATCTCAAATTTGGACTCATCAGACCAAAGGACAGATTTCCACCAGTCTAATGTCCATTGCTCATGTTTCTTGGCCCAAGCAAATCTCTTCTTCTTATTGGTGTCCTTTAGTAGTGGTTTCTTTGCAGCAATTCGATCATGAAGGCCTGATTCACGCAGATGTTGAGATGTGTCTGTTACTTGAACTCTGTGAAGCATTTATTTGGGCTGCAATCTGAGGTGCAGTTAACTCTAATTAACTTATCCTCTGCAGCAGAGGTAACTCTGGGTCTTCCTTTCCTGTGGCGGTCCTCATGAGAGCCAGTTTCATCATAGCGCTTGAAGGTTTTTGCGACTGCACTTGAAGAAACTTTCAAAGGTCTTGACATTTTCCGTATTGACTGACCTTCATGTCTTAAAGTAATGATGGACTGTTGTTTCTCTTTGCTTATTTGAGCTGTTCTTGCCATAATATGGACTTGGTCTTTTACCAAATAGGGCTATCTTCTGTATACCACCCCTACCTTGTCACAACACAACTGATTGGATCATACGCATTAAGAAGGAAAGAAATTCCACAAATTAACTTTTAACAAGGCACACATGTCAATTGAAATGCATTCCAGGTGACTACCTCATCAAGCTGGTTGAGAGAATGCCAAGAGTGTGCAAAGCTGTCATCAAGGAAAGGGTGACTACTTTGAAGGATCTGAACTGAGATTGTCCCTAATGAGAGAATGAAAATGACCCACCAAAAATACCATTCTTCATACACCTTTCAACTTTCTCCCACTTGCTTACGATGCAACAATGATACCCAACTTTTAAGAAAATTGCTCTTTGTTTGAGTGGACAAAAATGAACCAACAACGACAGGAATCGCAAAACAATGGACCACAACCCCCCCCACCCCTGCCCCGCCCGATTGTGTCACGTCAATAGCTGTGAGGGGCAGAGAGGATTACTGACCAGCTTGGCCTGCTTCTCAGCCTTCTTTGCCACTTTCTCTGCTTCCTTCTGCTGTTTCTTCAGGCCTTTCTTCGACGGGGCCTGGTCCGCCTCCTCCACAGCCCTGCAACAGGAAATCAAGACCAATGCAAAACATATAAGTCAACTAGCTAGGTAAATTTTTTTGGCCTTCCTGTAGGAAGTTTTTGACCGGTGGGAAAATGTGTTCCAGCCATCATCACCACCTCTGGATGTGGCTAATGACATAGCCTGGACAGCAACATGGCTCATCAACCTAACAATAAACACAGCTACTGGGGAAAAAATGGATTACTTAAAATTCTAGGTCAATACGGACTACAAGGGTGTAGCTATACAATAGCTATTTGTCTCCAGACTTCAGACTGAGATCAAAGATTCCATGAAAAATAAGAACTTTGCGCTTCCTCAACAATATTACTACGCATGTTGCACACACACAGCAGGAGGCATCTCTCTCATCCCAACCTGTGATAGTGTGGGGTTGTGTCATTGTACTTACTGACAGTAAGCATCTCCAGGAAATAACACTGATCAAAGGAGAACGGTGATATAAATAGCAATATAAACAACAATCACAACAGCAACAGATGGCATTAGGCAATGACTTCAAAAGAAGGACCTGCCAGTGCTTTTACAATGTTTTCCGTTCCACTTGTTTCCTTTCGCAAAGGAAATCATAAACTCAAAATTCGTGACATTGAATCATGAACATTTTCAAACAATATCATCCTTATCTCCTGTAATTCTATAAAAGCAACCCCTGGGAACCATATGAGCATGTCAGAGTCAGGATGAGTGAGGGCAATTAAGCACATTCACACCTATCTACATATCCAGTGGCATTAACACACAATGAGGAGAGGAGGAAATGGTGGTAGGACCCCTGACCAGGCTGCAACTGATTTAATGGCATCTAGCTTCACAGATGACATTGGCCGTTTTCACATTGACGATAGCAAAGGGACATTTGAGAGGTTCTCGAAAGGTATCGATACTCGAGAGACAATACTGTTGTGTAAACTTGTGAAATGATCACCTCTCGAGCGCTAGGCTACTTCCGGAGGTCGCGCACAACACTTGCCCCGCTCCGAGTGTGAACAGAATTGTCTCGTTGAGCTCAACACTCCTACAGTATAAATGGTAATAGCAGAGCAATGTTTTTGAAACTGCTGAAATGTATAGCCATTTTCCTTATATTTCAGACTTGTTTTATTGAGGTTTTACTTGAAATGGTCTGTTACAGTCTGAAATTGGCACAGTAGCTGTCGCCTGAGAGCTGCACTGAGCCACGGAAAACTATGGAAGCCCATTCCCACCAACATTTCTTTAAAAACATGTTGATACCATCTTAAAATGTTGACGTATGCAAGTCAACATTTTGAGATAAGGAAGTGAAACAACGCAAGTCAACTATTTTGAGATAGTAGATCATACAAATAGAATGTTTTTTCATTTGTAACATTGTGTGGTGATTTCAGAGTTGGCACCACAGGTTCCTGAGTGGTGGGGGGGACATTGTTTTCCTGGGAACCAGAGTTTCTCCTGATCTGGTAGGCTAACCTAACCAGGTAAACTCCAGGTATGACATAGTAATAATTCAGCAGCTGCAATAACAAAAAAAAAACGGTTTTATATGGGCTATGATGGGACCTGAGTTTTTAAATAATCAGGTCATATGGTGAAAATTAAATTTTAAAAAACGTATGGGAAAACTCCTGGCCATAAGAAGGATGAGAACATTAAAATCCTGTCAAACAAATCATGAGGCGAATCAGTCTAAACAACAGTACTTTGTCCTTCTTTTCAATGCTTTTCTGTCAATATTTTTTATTAAACAAAAAAGAAATTGCTGGGGCAAATGCCAGCTCGCCACACGTCTGCCGGCGGCCCTGCTGTGCTGATCTCTGCTACATGGATAGAAGGAAATTGCCACACAATGCTGCAAATTAAAAAACATAACCTGTACGATCTATATGCATATTATTTTTGGGTGGTGGGAATGGGTTTCTATATATATATATATATATATATATATATTTATTTATTTATTTAAAAAACAGCTCAACTCCCTGGTGAATACCCAATTAGTTTTTACCACATGTAGCCTAATGATTTGCATGATATTCATAAAAATGAAGCATGGTTTGTTGTAATGTTGAAAGGTAGGCCTACTGTACTTTTTTATTCGTATTACAGGGGTAATCGTTCATTTTTGATAGGCTAACATTACTTGATGAAGACATGGTGTTAGCTTGTGCTAGCAGTAACTCTGTGCTTTTGTCTTGAAGCTCAAATGTAATGAGTGTACAGATGAGAAAATAAACCCTTTAATTATCTGCACATGCTTGTGAATTGCTGCATTATTCAAGAGTGTTTTGTTGCAGTAATTAAGAGTGTAATATGGTAGATGCATGAAGAGTTGCTTGCTTAACATTAGCTAGTAGCTAGCTAGCTAGCTAGTAGAATAGTTTCCCATGCTTAGCCTCCTGGCCAGGGACGGCTTGTTCAATAGGGCGATATGGGCGACGCACTGCCAAACGGGAAAAGGAAGGGATTTTTTTCTAATCAATTATTTAAAAAAAAATTAAATAAAAAAAAATATTTTTTTTTTATAAATTTATAAAAAATTATATCACGGCAACAGCAGTTATCAGTGTTCACGTCTGATCTGCCAGCCACTAAATGTCAAATCAGGCTAAAGTCGTGCTTCAAATGGCCCCGCCCGTTTTTTGGGCGATTTCAGTCAGGTTGAAAATCGCCCAGAAGTCTGTCATAGACTCCCATGTAAAATCTAGTTTTGTCACATTTCAAAGCTTTCAATACATTCTCTATGGGTGTCTGTGGGCTTGCACTTACGCGCTTTCGTCATACATAACGTAACCACGAATGAACGTAACTAAGAAAAGACCAGGTAGCAGCCTCAATCAATTCACTACTACTATCAAAATGGCTAGGCTTCAGTCCAACTCGATTGTGTCTTTGAAAGAAGTTCCTTTTTGTCGGCGAACAAATGAAGATAAATTGGCAACGAAACAATTAGGACCCCCCAGACCAAATTTAATAATTCAACAGGTGTCTACTAAAGGGGGGAAGTCCTACACCCGAGGATTTTCCAAAAATTGGTATGAACGGAAAACCTGGCTAGCAGGCTGCGATGTAGCTAATGCAGTTTTTTGCTACCCCTGCTTACTCTTCCACCCTGAAGGCGGCACAGCAGACAGCACCGCTTGGACAGCGACTGGTGTAACCGACATGCACCATCTTTCAGAAAAGATTAAGAAAAATTAGCTGTCAAAGACCCACATATAGCTGTTTGAGATTGTCTGCTTTTGGGAGAGTGAATATTGCCACTCAACTGGATGAGGGATACAGGCTAGCTGTCCGCCGCCACAACGATGAGGTTAGCAACAGCAGAGTCGTGAACACTGTCTACGAGAATCGAGACGACCTCATATAATGTTTTGAAGCCATCCGGACGGGTTCATTGGGTTCATTTGACCAGCACACCTTGAGAGAGGCAGCTGGCTACGTGAGGATACTACATGATGAAGATTTAATTTTTTTCCTGCGGCTTTTTCACAAAATCATGCCCCACGTCGACATTCTGTACCAGAAGCTACAGAAGAAGGACATCGATGCTGTCTCTATCAAACGTGCCCTCGACAGCTTCACAAGCAAGTGCAGGCCATAAGGTAAGATTAAACAGATATCAAAAAATGTGGTAAAAGCTCTTGTTGATCCTGCAATCTGAACAAATACCAAGATGCTGTATTTTCAGCTGATATTTCATTTGTTTATGGAAATGCATATTGTTTATGCAGTGTTGAGGAATGTGAAAGAACACCCTTGATTATTTTTACTGTGATAACTTATTTTGCTTTTGTAAGCCAACACTTTTGAGATCAGTCAATAAATGCTTCTGGTATTGACTTATATGCTGCCCCTGTCTTCATGTTGTTGCTGGACATATCTTTTTAAAAATGTGTGTAGGTCACCTAAATCATCAGAAAAATTGCCCTCCCTGAGAATTTGTTCAGGAGCCGCCACTGCTCCTGGCTAGTGGCTGGCTATTGTGACATTTACGGTACTTTTGAGCTGCAAAGCAAGAAAGTCAACCGAACCCTCTCTAAGTATATGTACATATTAAGTAAATAGAAATTTCGTCCCGATAACTCTATTCAGTGAGAATAAGCCCATATTCCTCCAAATGAAAGACTCAGAGAGTCCGTGTGACTACTTCAACATGTGCCATCATGCATAGACTATGGGTTATTTTACAGAAAACAAAGGAAGACTTGATGTGTTGAATAAGTGAAAGTAAGATCAGACATGAACTGACTGATTAAGCGCCCTACTCATTTCTAATTTTCATCATTTATAGGCCTACTTTAACATTTTTGTCTCCACTTTTTGGGACAGCTGCTGCCCCCATGACACCTGGGCCACGTTCAGTTACAAAACGTTCTTGAACGTTGCAGATAGAAATTCCATGAATAGAGCTGATGTGATTCCTTATTCTACATGACGGAGAGGCATGTTTGTTCTACATACTGTAGCATATTTCTATCTGAATGTTCCAAAACGTTGCGCCCCTGCCCTCATGTAAAATGCTGTGAACATAGCAGGGCTTGACAGTAAAAAAAAGTGTCACTTGTCCATAGGACAAATAGGACAGATGTTTTACTTGTCTGAAACCTCAAGTCACTTACAAATTAAAAGAACATCTGTAACACCATGGGCCAAAATGGTGCCAGAAATTGTGTTGCATAATGTAAGGAACCACTTCACAAAATAAAAAGCACTGGTATGACAATGAAGGCTGGCGGTCGCTGAATCCATGATTATATTCCTGCCGGTGTTGCTTGAGAAAGGCACTTAACCCCCCACAAGTAAAGACGCAGGATATAAAACATATGTGGTCAACCCTCCATCTGGAGAGCTACTGGGTGTGTAGGCTTTTGATCCAACCCTGCTCAAACACACACACACGAGTCAGCTTATCAGGATGCTGAGGAGCTGATTTGTACAAGTATTAGAGGCAGGGCTGGAGCAAAAGCCTGCACACTCAGTAGCTCTCCAGGACTCTCCTGGATGATGGTTGGCGACCCTGCAACATTACAATTACAACCAAATACTTTTTATGTTTTTATAAAATAATTCCCTCATACAATTACCAGGGATCAAATGGCTAAGGTGAGCGACTTCAAAGCAAGGTAGCTAACTAAGACATGTTTATCTCTTTTCAGGGAAGATCTAGGAGTTACTTGTCAATTAGGCTATTCTAAGATATATTTTTTACGTTGTCAGAATTATATGGCCAGTATTGAATAGAGGAGAATCCCATCTTTCCAACGGTGTCAGAATGATTTCAACACCCAATTTTGAAACACTTGAGAGACATTTACAACCGGAGTACTCAGCATTGGTTTCATCAAATGTGCACCCATATCAACTGTGTGGCGGCCATTTGCGGTTGTACACAAGTGCCGGTGGAAAGTTATTTAGGACATTGGACATGACAATGACATTAATACATGCGAATAGGTAAATAGTTAACTAGCGAGAAAACTTGCCAAACTACACAATATGTTTTGAATTGGCTATCTAATTAGTCTGTTGTATATCATTATTTTATCTGCTGCTGCAATGTCTCTCTCTCCTCTGGCAAAGGCCCACTCGCACTGGCACGCATGCAGGTATGCACACACCATGACTTTTACAGCTATAACTGTGCAAATAACTCACTAACTAGCAATGAATATCAACAAATGTGCATACGCGGCTATGCTCGCTTTGATCTCAAAAACGCATCTTGCGACTGCATGATTGAAAGACCGCTGGTGCCTGTCAATGCAGGCCTACAATAATTATACTGCGATGCGTTCTGTAGAGATTGGGAGGACAGTGCGCAACACACCACATGCAGAGGACACTTTGATCCAATTCTGATCGGAGTAACCTAATTATTTGATAGTGTGATTTTTGCGTGATGTTTTTGTTTACTTGTCCACTCTGACAATTTAAATCTATAATCTGCTTGTCTTACAATTTGTTTAACTTGCCCCGGCAAGCGGACATGCGTTAATGTCGAGCTTATTGTTATTCATTACATTGACACACAGCCAGTTGTAGTTGTTCAATGCACACTATATGCAAACATTTTGAGTGGCATTCATTGATGTTACACATTTATGCTATACAATGTCCAACACTGACTGTCAAACAGGGATCCAGACTTTACAGTAAAAAAAATAATAAGGTTTATTTCTGTCCCAAAATCAATTGTAATGCTTCCCCTACACCTGCCTAGCTGTTTTAAGGAAAACACTGTTTTTTATGACATGGTTGTGCTCTATGAAACTGCCACTGGTCAAACAACTGGTGGAATGTGTATGGATCGACAGGTTATGTCAAGTTCGCTTTTGAAGAGCCTTTACAGCCACACTCAATAATGAATGGTGGGACAGAAAGTAGGCCAGTGTCATTTGATGTAATACATGCAGCAATAAATTACAGCTGACTACCTCCCTCTCAAATAGGTTTTATACGATATACCGGTAGTTTTTTTACATCATTTATTTTGAGCATGGAGGAATCCAAATTGCAAAATGACAGTTCAACCACTAAATCAAGGCTTTGTTGTTTTAACTAGCAAGCTAGCTACCGAACTAACTACTGGGTTCAGCACGCATGAAAAGCAGTTGTTAGCCAGCTAAATTAAGTGGCATGTATTCTTGAGCATGATGGCACGGTCAGAGAGCATTGGCATGCATGGTGGTTAGCTTGCTACTGTTAAGATACTAGCAAGTTAGCTAGGTAATTAGCTAGCTAACTGTCAGAATTTAGCTGTAGTAGCAAGTGGAAAGAAACGTGGACTTCACGGCTGTAGCTGCTATTCGTGACGTTTTCTATGTTTTAAATTGGATAGCTAGCAAACTAGTTTACTTTCTTGATGGAAAACTGATCAATTAAATTGCTGATGCAATCATCTGCAAATACAACCGGCGTTAGCTAGCCAGCAAGCTAACGTTCGCGTTTAAAACATTCTGAGACACGAGAAAGCTGATCATTTCTCTTACCCTTGGACTCCATCTTTAGTCATGACAGTTATTATTATTTTGAGATTGTAGTTAGTTGATATCAAACGTTTCTTGACAGTTACTTCTGAGACAGAGTCGTGGGTGGTAGAAGAAGGACCTGTTTCCCTGATGCACAGGAAAATAGTTTATATCAATCCGGGCAGAAACTAGGTCAAAGAACAATAGTTCCGCAAAAGCTGTGGAAATATCATCCTGTCATCTTTCAAATCAAATTGGATTTGTCACATGCGCCGAAACAGCAGGTACCTTACCGTGAAATGCTTACTTACAAGCTCTTAACCAAAAACGCAGAGTAAGAACATATTTGCTAAAACAACGAAAGTAAACACAATAAAACACAATAAAATAACAATAAAGAGGCTAAATACAGGGGGTAAATAAACTCCAGTAAAAAAAAGTAACACTATACAATAACAATAAGGAGGCTATATACAGGGGGTACCAGTAACGAGTCAATTTGCGTGAGTACGGGTTAGTCGAGGTAATTGAGGTAATATGTACATGTAGGTAGGGGTAAAGTGACTATACATAGATAATAAACAGCGAGGAGCAGCAGCGTAAAAAAGGGGGTCAATGCAAATAGTACAGGTAGCCATTTGATTAACTGTTCAGTATTCTTATGGGTTGGGGGTAGAAGCTGTTAAGGAGCCTTTTGGACCTAGACTTGGTGCTCCGGTAACACTTGCCATGCAGTAGCAAAGAGAACAGTCTATAACTTGGGTGGCTGGAGTCTTTGACAATTTTTAGGGCCTTCCACTGACACTGCCTGGTATAGAGGTCCTGGATGGCAGGAAGCTTGGCCCCAGTGATGTACTGGGCCGTACGCACTACCCTCTGTAGTTCCTTACGGTCGGAGGCCGAGCAGTTGGCATACCAGGCAGTGATGCAACCAGTCAGGATGCTCTCGATGGTGCAGCTGTATAACTTCTTGAGGATCTGAGGACCCATGCCAAATCTTTTCAGTCTCTTGAGGGGGAATAGGTGTTGTCGTGCCCTGTCTTGGTGTGTTTGGACCATGATAGTTTGTTGGTCATGTGGACACCAAGGAACTTAAAGCTCTCGACCCACTCCACAACAGCCACGTTGATGTGAATGAGGGCATGCTCGGCCCTCATTTTCCTGTAGTCCACGATCAGCTCCTTTGTCTTGTTCACATTGAGGGAGAGGTTGTTGTCCTGGCACCACACTGCCAGGTCTCTGACCTCCTCCCTATAGGCTGTCTCATTGTTGTCGGTGATCAGACCTGCCACCGTTGTGTCATCGGCAAACTTAATGATGGTGTTGGAGTCGTGCTTGGCCACGCAGTCGTGGGTGAACAGGGAGTACAGGAGGGGACTAAGCACGCAACCATGAGGGGCTCCCGTGTTGAGGATCAGCATGGTAGATGTGTTGTTGCCTACCCTTACCACCTTGGGGTGGCCCGTCAGGAAGTCTATGATCCAGTTGCAGTGGGAGGTTTTAGTCTCAGGGAGTTTGAGAGCACTATGGTGTTGAACACTGAGCTGTAGTCAATGAACAGCTTTCGCACGTAGGTTTTCATTTTGTCCAGGTGGGAAAGGGCAGTGTGGAGTGCAATACAGATTGCATCTCTGGATCTGTTGGAGCGGTATGCGAATTGGAGTGGGTCATGGTTTATGGGATGATGGTGTTGATGTGAGCCATGACCAGTCTTTTAAAGCACTTCATGGCTACAGATGTCAGTGCTATGGGTCGGTAGTCATTTAGTCAGGTTATCTTAGTGTTCCTGGGCACAGGGACTATGGTGGTTTGCTTGAAAGATGTAGGTATTACAGACTCTGTCAGGGAGAGGTTGAAAATGTCAGTGAAGACACTTGCCAGTTAGTCAGCGCATGCTCTGAGTACACGCCCTGGTAATCTGTATGGTCCTGCGGCCTTATAAATGTTGACCTGATTAAAGGTCTTACTCACATCGGCTACGGAGAGCGTGATCACACAGTCGTTCGGAACAGCTGGTGCATTAAATGCATGCTTCAGCGTTGCTTGCCTCGAAGTGCAATAGAAGTCATTTAGCTCGTCTGGTAGGCTTGTGTCACTGGGCAGCTCATGGCTGGGCTTCCCTTTGTATTACGTAATAGTTTGCAAGCCCTGCCATATCCGACGAGTGTCAGACCCGGTGTAGTAGGATTAAAACTTCCGTATTGAGCGAGTCACTGGTACATCCTGCTTTAGTTTTTGCTTGTAAGCAGGAATCAGGAGGATAGAATTATGGTCAGATTTGCCAAATGGAGGGCGAGGGAGAGCTCTGTACGTGTCTTTGTGTGTGTAAGATCATGTAAGATATAGTATTTTGCTTACACTCTACTCACGTAATATATATATATATATATATATATATATATATATATATATATATATATATATATATATAGATATAATTGATGTATATATACAGTGAGGGAAAAAAACACCTGAAACACCTACAGTGAGGGAAAAAAAGTATTTGATCCCCTGCTGATTTTGTACGTTTTCCCACTGACAAAGACATGATCAGTCTATAATTTTAATGGTAGGTTTATTTGAACAGTGAGAGACAGAATAACAACAAAAAAATCCAGAAAAACGCATGTCAAAAATGTTATAAATTGATTTGCATTTTAATGAGGGAAATAAGTATTTGACCCCCCTGCAAAACATGACTTAGTACTTGGTGGCAAAACCCTTGTTGGCAATCACAGAGGTCAGACGTTTCTTGTAGTTGGCCACCAGGTTTGCACACATCTCAGGAGGGATTTTGTCCCACTCCTCTTTGCAGATCTTCTCCAAGTCATTAAGGATTCGAGGCTGACGTTTGGCAACTCGAACCTTCAGCTCCCTCCACAGATTGTCTATGGGATTAAGGTCTGGAGACTGGCTAGGCCACCCCAGGACCTTAATGTGCTTCTTCTTGAGCCACTCCTTTGTTGCCTTGGCCGTGTGTTTTGGTTCATTGTCATGCTGGAATACCCATCCACAACCCATTTTCAATGCCCTGGCTGAGGGAAGGAGGTTCTCACCCAAGATTTGACAGTACATGGACCCCGTCCATCGTCCCTTTGATGCGGTGAAGTTGTTCTGTCCCCTTAGCAGAAAAACACCCCCAAAGCATAATGTTTCCACCTCCATGTTTGACGGTGGGGATGGTGTTCTTGGGGTCATAGGCAGTATTCCTCCTCCTCCAAACACAGCGGGTTGAGTTGATGCCAAAGAGCTCGATTTTGGTGTCATCTGACCACAACACTTTCACCCAGTTCTCCTCTGAATCATTCAGATGTTCATTGGCAAACTTCAGATGGCCCTGTATATGTGCTTTCTTGAGCAGGGGGACCTTGCGGGCGCTGCAGGATTTCAGTCCTTCACGGCGTAGTGTGTTACCAATTGTTTTCTTGGTGACTATGGTCCCAGCTGCCTTGAGATCATTGACAATATCCTCCCGTGTAGTTCTGGGCTGATTCCTCACCGTTCTCATGATCATTGCAACTCCACGAGGTGAGATCTTGCATGGAGCCCCAGGCCGAGGGAGATTGACAGTTATTTTGTGTTTCTTCCATTTGCGAATAATCGCACCAACTGTTGTCACCTTCTCACCAAGCTGCTTGGCGATGGTCTTGTAGCCCGTTCCAGCCTTGTGTAGGTCTACAATCTTGTCCCTGACATCCTTGGAGAGCTCTATGGTCTTGGCCATGGTGGAGAGTTTGGAATCTGATTGATTGATTGCTTCTGTGGACGGGTGTCTTTTATACAGGTAACAAGCTGAGATTAGGAGCACTCCCTTTAAGAGTGTGCTATTAATCTCAGCTCGTTAACTGTATAAAAGACACCTGGGAGCCAGAAATCTTTCTGATTGAGAGGGGGTCAAATACTTATTTCCCTAATCAATTTATAACATTTTTGACATGCGTTTTTCTGGATTGTTTTGTAGTTATTCTGTCTCTCACTGTTCAAATAAACCTACCATTAAAATATAGACTGATCATTTCTTTGTCAGTGGGCAAATGTGCAAAATCAGCAGGGGATCAAATACTTTTTTCCCTCACTGTCTATAATTGATATATATATATATAATGTACACTACCAGTCAAAAGTTTGGACACACCTACTCATTCAAGGGTTTTCTTTATTTTTACTATTTTCTACATAGTAGAATAATAGTGAAGACATCAAAACTATAAAATAACACATATGGAATCATGTAGTAACCACAAAAGTGTAAAACATTTTATATTTGAGATTCTTCAAAGTAGCCAACCTTTGCCTTGATGACAGCTTTGCACACTCTTGGCATTCTCTCAACCAGCTTCATGAGGTAGTCACCTGGAATGCATTTCAATTAACAGGTGTGCCTTGTTAATTTGTGGAATTTCTTTACTTCTTAATGCGTTTGATCCAATCAGTTGTGTTGTGACAAGGTAGGGGTGATTTACAGAAGATAGCCCTATTTGGTAAAAGACCAAGTCCATATTATGGCTAGAACAGCTCAAATGAGCAAAGAGAAACGACAGTCCATCATTACTTTACTTCAATACAGAAAATGTCAAGAACTTTGAAAGTTTCTTAAAGTGCAGTCGCAAAAACCATCAAGCGCTATGATGAAATTGGCTCTCATGAGGACCGCCACAGGAACGGAAGACCCAGATTTACCTCTGCTGCAGAGGATAAGTTCATTAGAGTTAACTGCACCTCAGAAAATTGCAGCCCAAATAAACGCTTCACAGAGCTCAAGTCACAGACACATCTCAACATAAGCTGTTCAGAGGAGACTGCGTGAATCAGGCCTTCATTGTCGAATTGCTGCAAAGAAACCACTACTAAAGGACACCAATAAGAAGAAGAGTCTTGATTGGGCCAAGAAACACAAGCAATGGACATTAGACCGATGGAAATCTGTCCTTTGGTGTGATGAGTCCAAATTTGAGATTTTTGGTTCCAACCGCCGTGTCTTTGTGAGACGCAGAGTAGGTGAACGGATGATCTCCGCATGTTTGGCTCCCACCGTGAAGCATGGAGGAGGAGGTGTGATGGTGTGGGTGTGCTTTGCTGGTGACACTGCCAGTGATTTATTTAGAATTCAAGGCACATTTAACCAGCATGGCTCCCACAGCATTCTGCAGCGATATGCCATCCTATCT